GTCATCACCCAAAAGGCCTCTCAATCATTGAAGTATGTTTGTATTATATAAGTTGTTATTTGTTATGTTATTTTATCGATGTGGGACTTGTTTGAATCTCAACAATAAGGTACGATTATTAGGAACGCAATTTCTTGATTCTAGAATTGTTGAAAAAATTCTAGTAACTATACATATGAAACTTCAATAGCGGCTTTGGAGAACACAAAGGATCTGAGTAAGATCACTTTGGCAGAAGTGTTACATGCATTGCAAGCATTAGAAGAAAGGAAGCTTACGAGAGAAGAAGGATTTATGGAGGGTGTATATTTAGCCAAATGGAAAAACAAAAATAGTGGCAAAAACAAGAAGAAGGAATTGTTTCAAGAGAACAATCAATATAATAACACTCAAATTTTTTCACCATGTCCTTATTGCAAAAAGACTAATCATCCACAACAGAGATGTTGGTGGAGACCTGATTTAAAATGTGGCAAGTGCGAAAAATTAGGACACCTAAAATATGTTTGCAAATCTCATGAGCAACAAGAAGAAGCCAACATTGTTGAAGATCAACAAGAAGAGGAAGAAGAACAACTACTTTCAATGTCATGCTTTATGACTAAAAAGCCCTAAAAAACTTGGATTATTGATAGTGGTTGTACAAATCATATGACCTATGATCGAGAAATCTTCAAAGAACTCAACAAAACTGATATCTCTAAAGTTCAAATGGGGAATGGAGCACACCTTGCAGTAAAAGGCAAAGGAACACTTGCTATTAAGAGTCATTCAGGTTTTAAATTAATATCTGATGTTTTATATGTTCCTAATATTAACCAAAATTTGTTGAGTGTTTTTTCAATTATTAGGAAAAGGCTATAAAGTGTTATTTGAAGATAAAAATTGTGTGATTAAAGATATACACAACAAAGAAGTGTTCAATGTTCATATGAAAAGCAAAAGTTTTGCTTTAAATTTGGAGAAGGATGAGCCAATTATAAATGAAGATACAAGTGAAGAGCACAAAGATGCATATTTTCAAAAGAAGTTTGATGATCAAGAGGAGAATGAAGATGATGAAAAACCACCTTCAAAAGAGAAGTTCAAGACAAATGCTAAAGTGATCCCACTCAAGAAGGATTATAACAAAAATCACAAAAAGAAGAAACCAATCAAAAAGAGAAAAGGCAGATTTTGATACTTAAATTAGGTGATAAAGATATTCAGTCAAGGAAGAGTGTTGGAATATGCCTAAATATCTTTAGGAGATTAAGTTAGTTTTTTATAATAATATTTTATTTATATTTCAAATATTTAGATTTAATCTGTTCTGATTATTTTAAGATTTATTTCCTTATTTTAGAATAGGATAATATCAATATTTGATTTTGTATAAAAAATTTTCTCTATAAATAGAGATTCATGAATAAAATTATATTATGGGTGTAAAAATCCGTATGGGTGTATAATTAATAAATCAAGATAAAGATAAATATTAAAGTATTTGTGTGCAAACATTTGTTAGATATATGTTATAATAAAAAAAATTACATAATTTTTAAAAAAAAATATATATCATGTGTTAAGTAAAAATATGATACTATTTAAATTTCTTTTATTTAAGTTTGTAAGATTGAAATATTTTAATTTTTAATTTTTATGTTAAACTTGTGTAATCGATTTATTTTATTAAATTTATTTAAACTTATGGGAGTAAAGTACTTTAATAATTTAATTTAATTTTTAAATTGAAGAATATTGATTAATAAAATTGTGTATAATATCTGAATAATTTAAGCTTTAGTTAAACTATGAATTTAAAAAAATTATTAGAACAAATAAAATTTTTGATTAATTTTTTTTAAAATTATTTATTTTTAAATAAATATTTATGGATATTCATAGATAATCACAAATATTAAAATAATACGAATACTTACTTAAAAAATACTTTTATAAAAATAAAAATGAGTATAAGATGTATATTTATCTATTAGAATGGATAACGAAAAATGATTACTCTTAAAACGATCCACCCCGTTCTATCATATTTCTAGATATCTTTCTTTTTTTGTCATATAAGAAAATACTTTTGAAAATCTAAATATAATAAAAATATCATAATTATATCACTGGTATTAATTTAAAAGAATATTATAGATTAAAATTTATCACCACCAACAAAATAGTAGTTCAGTCTCCACAAAGCTAAAATATAAAATAAATAAAACAATAGTCCAAACAGTAGTTTTAATGTCTTAAACCTTTTCATAAAACAAATAAATTAAAGAAAATAAACCAATCTTAATTATCTTCTGAAATATATAGATATTCTATTAAAAAGAAAACAAATCAGATTTAGTGTGTATTTAGTTCAAGTTTTTAACGTGATAAATCACGTTAAAATGAAAGCTATCGAATATAACTTTTATATTTTAAACGTGATTTTTTGTTCTAAATTACGTTTTGGACGTGTAAACATGTATTTACTTATTGTGTCTCGTCTCTATCCAATTTTTTTACGGGTTAAATAGAATATGTCAGCTGGTGAATTGAAGAGACCAACCCGTCTGAAAAAAAAAGAATAAGATAGATGGTTGACTTATAAAGTCCACCCTTTTTTTATCACTCTTACTTAAAGGTTTGGTAGTATTGTTGTTTTGGATTCAATCTTATGCTTTACAAAATATTTTGAAAAAAATATGATTGACATGAGTGATTTTTTATATTGTTTTTAATAATATGAGTGTTTATGACCTATCTTATTTTGTTCCACTACCCTGACAAAGTCACTTTTGAGTTTTGACAGATTTTGATTTAAGAAAATAGATTTGTTGTATTTTGAGAACCATTGAATGTTATATATTTTAATTTTAAAAATATATTTTTTAAACAATTGTGCATTAATATTAATTTTTTTGAATTAATGAATAACATTTTATATAATATGATATTATATTTATATTGATAATATCTATTTTAAAATATATAACATAGAATATACCTTAATTATAATTATGTATATTTTTAATTATAAGATTTAACTATATATATAATATAAACTTGATATATTATGTCAAGAAATATTTGACTCGGATTTATCTCATATATTATCGAATCTTAATTGGGCTAAGTTTAAATTCAAATAATCAGCTCTAACGAACAAATTTTCAAGTCATGTAAGAATACAAATAAACCATCCCAAAAATACACCTGAAATTAGGAGTAAAAGTTGAATATTTTGTGAAGTTTGTAACTACTATTTGGAGGATTAAAATGAGGATTCACTCCATAACAATTATAGCCCTTTTTAATTTTTAAACAGAAGACAAAGCAGAACCATGAATTTGTTGAGCATCTCAAGTCCTCTTATGAATTATGATTTCTTTAGACAGGACAGGACTGCTGGTTTGATCCTCTCTTTGTAATTATTGACATAAACATCAGATATGTTTTTCCTTCCATCTCTAAATCAACAAACTAAAACCCTTAAATGTTAGAGAATGTGTGGTTAGAATAACAAATCATCCATGTTAGGTCGTACTCATAATCTAACTACGAACAGATATACTCATTCATATACCTTACTTGCACTCTTGGCTCATGATAAAGATATTAGACACAAGATGACTAGAATGTGACCCCCAGACACATGTTTTCTTCACATTTTTCAAGTTTATTGGCTCTTTTTAGCTCCACGTGAAGGCTTGTGGGGCTCAATTGGTGTGCTTAAATGCCTTGTGGCCCATGACAATCACATATGGTCACCAATGATCATCTTTGGTCAGTGATACATAAAAAATAATGCATAGACATTTAAAGTGACAACTGCTTAATATTCTGATTTATTGATTGGGGAGACCAATAATCTGTTAATTTGCACCACATACAAGGTTGCTCAAGCAATAAAGCTCGTAGGATGACATTATATTTTGCGTGTAGTCTTTCTCTTTTTGCGGCATTAATATCTTATCTGTTTTTGCTTTTTCAATAATAAATGACTTATTGACCACAGTATCACATGGCTCCATGCTTATGGGGGCATATGTGGAAAAACTTCATTAACTGCTGAATGAAAAAGTTTCACATTTGTTGCATTTTAGAGGGAATGGAGCTTCCTTCTAGCTAAGAAAAACTTGATGTGATACCATACCATATATCATATATGCTTGCATTTGAGACATGAATCAAATTTCATTTGATCGGATCATGCATTGATTTCAGCAGAATATCAGATTGAGTTGCAAGTGGCTTCTAGCAAGTTAAACTAATTCTAATTTCTATGCGTGTTGATGAATTTCTGGATAATTGGCATGACAAAAGAAAGATGACTAATTTGATGGACCACATTATTTATGAGATAGTTTCAGAATTAAAAGCAACAAGCTTCATTCCTCGGTGTTTGTGTTAAGGTGTCGCTTTTGCCAGTTGAATGTTGCTGTAAGGACATTCTCTCCAGTTGAGGTTTGAAAGTTATCTGTTGGACACTGAAACTTTGTCTGATCAGAAGCTCCTCATTGGTAACACCTTTTGTCTTTATTATGGATATAAGCTCTTATTATCACATGACATGATTAAAAGTGCTCCAGGCATAAATTTTTCTTCCATTGTACAACAAAAAGGTGAAATGATTATAACATAGTTGCCTATGATTACCCCTTCATTCTATTTAAAGGATGCTTAGCTTTACAATCAATTTTTTCCTCCTATTTGTTGGTTGGATGCAGTTATAGCAGATACATCTCACTTTTTTTTTTTTTTTTCTTTTCCCTTTTCTTTCAATTGTGGTCCTATAAGAATAATATCGTGAAAAGTGAAAATTTTTGAAAATCTATGCTAAGTCATTCTTATAAACAAGCTATGGTCCTCAGGGTAAGATGCAACAATGCATAAAAACAAAAATCTATGAAACAAGCAGGCTCTTGATAGGAAATAGCATTGAAGTGGCGGTTTCCATTGCCTTGACAATACGAAGTCACCTTTCATATTCCATCTTTCTTTATATGAAACCAAATGCATGAATACAAGGCATCCATTCTCATTAATATTTTTCTACCAGAAACTGCAAAAACTGAATCAAAGTGTACATAACAAATCAAGTGGAAGAATACATTAAGATCAGCAAGAGGGAGACACAAGACGCTCATTTCCCATTTGAGATGGGGACTTTGGACTAAAAGCATTTACTTCTGCTACCATTATTGTTGGATAACACATGAGCTGATAAAATGAAAACTCTATCACACAAATTGAAACTCAAGATACATAATTGAACAAAGAGTAAACCTTCACTTTAGTGTCTTGTATTGTACATGTCAGTCATTTTAGTCTTTACCTTTATTAAATTCACTTTAGTCCTTAACTTTATTAAATGTCATTCACATTGTTTATCAATTTTTTTCACTAATGTTAAGGACTAAAGTGAATGACATTTTTCAAAGTTAACGACTTGAGTAAACTTTTAATAAAGACTAAAAATGATGATGCAGGTCGATTAGGTGAGGGTTTACTCATTGAGCACAATCCAAATACAAACACACGTATTCAAGCAGCATCTAAATGTACAACAGTTGTGAAGGATGTGGTGAGAGTGAGCGCTGAAGTGGGGCTGTGGCATAAGCATGGTGCTTATGTCTTGCACCAAAACTATCCTCCTTTGTCTCTGACTTAAACTCTCTCACCTGAGGGAAGGTATCTGATCTGCGACGAGTATGCGTGTTAGAACTTGGTTTCTCATATGCTGTGAAGGCATCCATAGCAACTCCTACAGCTTTATGGCTCTTGCAACCCAACAGCATGCTTGGACGCCGCCTCTGCATCTCTTTGATAGCCTTTGGTTTAGCATTTGAGGAAACTAAGGATGTCCTAATTGGACTCCTTGTGGTTGCTATTGACCTTTGATCATCATAATCTGACATGGCTGAGTACTCTAAGGCACTGGCAGTGACCACACTCCATTCTATGCTTGCCTCACTTGGTGCATAACAAGTTGTGGGGCTGGCACAGCTAGAGATTACATTGGATGTTGATCTACCAAGGAAGGAGTTAGATTTGCCTGTGAGGCTTTCAATCTCAAACAAGTCTGAACTAGCATCACTCTCAGCATCATTGTAGTTTCCACCAGAAGTTGCTGAGAAATCAGGTTCTTCAATTTTAGGAGCAGGATCCCAAGAGGTCTTTGCCAACCTTTTATCAAAGCTCATGGACTTGCTCCTGCTCTCCAATATTGGAGAGCCAAACACTTCCAATGACTTCCTTGGCTTCTCTACTTGTTGAAGTTGCATTTTGAGCAGTTGATTTCCTGAGTTAGAATTCACAGCTGAGAGTGTTAAACTGTTTTCTCTGCTTAATCCAACTCCTAACTTCTCTGGCCTTTGGAAGTAGACATCTTTGTTGATCAAGAGTTCTGCATGAGGCTTAGCCATTTTGACTGAATGATTAGCATCCGGATCAGCATTGAAAATATTTCTTGAAGTTGTTTTTCCATGAGGAGCACTTTTGTTAAAACTGATTTCACCTGCATGGTCACTAATATCAACAGAATTTTTGTCAGAACAATAGCATTTGCAACCAAGACTAGCCAGGAAACTCTTTTTCTGCAATTTGTTTTTCATGTTCCTTGAGGAATTCTTCACAGCACTTTGCAACAGTGCACTTTGGCTGTTCAAACTTGATTCAGACCTTACACTTGGAGTTCCATACTGAACCTTGTACTTCCTAGCTACCAAAGTTGTTTGTTCATCTTTCTGGTGTAGTTGCTGGTGCTTCTTTGCATCATTGTTTGGAGCACTTGGAGGACTTTCCATCTCTTCTCCATTGAAGTACTTCTCAGCCTCAAACACCCCAATTTCTCCATCATCTTCCTTCTTTACTCCCTGGTGAAGAGGATCCTTTCTGTTGCTGACAAAGCCATGGCCTGATTCAGCCAGGATCTCTTCTTTGCTGTTCAAGTAAGAAGAGAAGGAAGCATCACGAAGATGGTAGTTGTTATTCTGAGATAACTGATGCATGTTGTTATTGGAAGTGGCTGCTATGATAACCATAGTTAAAAGTATCAAAGTACTCACAGAAAATGGTCCAACAGAACCTGTTTGCACAGAGGCTGATAGAAGAAAAGACACAATAAGAGACTGAAATAAAATAAAAACAGTGGTATAGACAAAGATACTAAAATACTTTGAAGTAAAAGAACTAATATTATGACAACTTTTGGGTGCTAATAGGCCACAAGAAAAAGGAAAGGTAGCAAGGTTGAAAGGAAAACTTAGTTATGTGAAGGGAAGGCTAAAACTAGATAGAGGAAAGGAAATGGTTGCAGGAGAGAATTTAAAATGAATAGCTGAATAACTGCCTGTCACATTTAAGAGTAGCTCTATAAGTAGGCTAATGGAATATGCAAAATGTCAAATGGGTAGGACCATGTGCCTGTGGCTAATTGACACTTCATCAATAGTTTTAAAGCTGATGAAATTACGTTGAATTCTGATGAATGATGAGTTATTTTAACATTCTGCCTAATAACATGCATTAGCACAGATTCTTTCATAAATGTGGAGAAATTTTAGCCGCCTATGTTAACCATGGTATGTTCGTTATAATGGGAGCCCCTATGATTTGTCTCCTTCCAGGTGATAGGGTGATAACTACTTGAGAGAAACATGTTTTTATCCATTTTGATTGTATAATATATATGTAGTCCCATCATTTTGAAAGTATTGCTCTTTTTTCCTTTTCACAAGTGGATCTAACCTAGTGTATAGTCTATTCTAGTTTAATACCCCTTTAACTAAATCAATGTTGAATAATCAAACGAGCAAGTGAGATTTAATCGGGACAAACGCTTAAGAGAAGGGTCACCCCTGATATGACTTTTGCGATAATACCAAAATAAACTCTGACAAATGCTGAAGATTTAATTGGTCATTTGATACACTTGTATGGAGGTTTTTACATGATTGAGAAATTAGAAATTATTCATATGTGACTTTTAAAGTAACAATTGTAAAAGTTAACGATCTTATCATAAAAGGTAATTTATAATTGAGTAACAGTGTAAAGAAACTTTACGGTATCACTGCATTTTAATTAAATTCAAGGAGCTTACTGGTACTTGAATGCAATTAATATAATTGGACTGCTGTTTGGGATAGAATGATGCTTTGGAAAAACTGATTCCTTGGTTACATTTTGAAAAGGAGCAATGTTAAATACTCTTACAAATCTTTCTACTATTTTTATATAAAAAATCTCTTGAAAAATATATAATGCATTCAAAACCTACCATATAAAGGAAGTAAGAGAATTAGGAGGAGGATGTAGAATTATTCTTCAAAAGTGTAATGTAATATCTTCTAAAAAATCTTTCCAATATTTTATAAAGAAAGTATTACATGTAAAAAGTAAATGAACTTAATGTCTTGAAAACATAACATTCAATATTTACCATACAAAGCAAGTAGGAAAATATCATATGAATATAGAGTTATCAAGGTTCACTAATATGTCATCAGTCCAAGTGGAATTGGAGTTAGATTTATTAAACAAATACAAGATCGCTAATTCAAGTCTTGTGGATGAGAAAAATGTGATCGAAAAAAGGGAGTTAGACTTGCGGATGAACCAGATCTTACAACATAAATTAGTCATCAACAAAATTTATCAATAACATGGTGACAAAAAAGAATTACCAAATTTTATGTTTGGAGAATAACCAAGCAGCGAAAAACTTGTCTGTTTGCTTCAGAGACATGCTGTCCACACAAAATAGACAGTAAAAACAAAGGAAGCAGCATATATTTGTTACCGGTGGCAATAATTAGCCTACAATATCAACCATATATATCCAAACCAGACATAAAATATTGACAAGATTTCACAATGAAAGTATACACCACACTCTAAGCAGAAACCAAACCAAGGATACATTATAAATAGTTTCCTCGGACCCCGTCATAGTGGCTTTAATATGGACAACCAAAGTCCCTCAAGTACCGTGACGCTAAGTTTGAACAGTAATGCAAATCTTATCCCAAATTTTTGTTAGTGAGCTATTCATTTTTAGTTTCGAACCACGGCTATAATAAGTTTGTCTATGAAGAAGGATACATGTAGAAAACTAAAAATATAACATTATTCAAATTGGACCAATTTATAGCTGGCAATGTCATTTAATCAAGTTATATAAGTGGTTAACCATTCATCACTTAAATGACATTTTCGTTTTGTACAATGAAGACATTCTCGGATTAGACTTGGTGTCATTTAGGATTAATTATGTCCTTTGTTGGGCTTAATATAGGAAGCAATCTTCTTTATATAATTCAAAAGTTCCTCTTTCTTTGTCTTTAGCCATGTATTCTTCTGCATAGCTGTAAGATTAACCCTTGAGTTGGTAATTAACATCAAAGTGATAATTCCACAATTCAAACTCCAACAATTTAGAATCATAAGTGTCAGTCTAGTGGTGAGATTAGTATAATATGTACTACAAAATACAATATTCAAACTCTATCATTGTCTTTGTAATTTTTCTTAGTGATAAAAAAAACACTCTTAAAATTTGCTTCCCTCAGACCATAGTCCAATATGACCTATTATTATTTATCTGATTTTGTACCATATTGCTCTACTTCTAACCTAGCAAGTAACGGATTCGCACGTTCAATATGACACCAACATATATAGAGGTGTCAAAGGTTTGGATTAGGATAAAATAATGCCTTCTAAATATTTTGGAAGGATAGTAGCTAGTTTCTATTGGTTGTCCTACATATCAGAACAAATTCATTTTTTAAAAGTAGATTTCATATTTAAAAGGAAAAATTAAATCTACCGGTGTCCTTTATCTCCTTTATTATTGGGCCAAACCCCTTGGGCTCTTTCCTAGTCTATCTGATTCACCTGGCTTGGAATTTGGTTGCAATTAATTTCACACCAACCTTTCATGCTAGTTCTATTGTGTTGTGTAGCATGAACTTGCAAGAAAGCAGGACCCACATGCACTAGCCTGGCTTGTCTTGGATTCACACCACTGCACCTTCTCTAGAATTGACATGTGAGCAATGCTGTCCACTTAGGTAAATATCATTCTCTGAGATAATTAGAATCAAGATGGGTACTGTATTGGAATGTTTCAGAAGAACCTAGGCTTGTCTTGGGTTATGGCTAGTAGGGTTATCCCACCACTGAGTTAGCAATTTAGCACTTTTATTTTTATTTTTATTTTTTATTTGTTAACTCCTGTGTCAACACTCAACATGTATGACATGACTCACTTGTACCTAATTTCCTACGCAAATCCACCTTTGTGCTATTTTAACTATTTTCATTTCACTGCCACAGCAAAGAAAAGAGCAACAAAGACTGGGGCATTAGGCAGCAACATTGCTTAGTGGAGCGTGTCGCTCTCAAAATAAGATTTGTCAAAATAATACATGCTACTTTACCACCTTAAAATTATGGAATATTACCAAAACTTGTTTGGCCAAATGATTTGTTATTTGGATTTCTTCACCGAGGATTGGGATTTGATCTTCACTTTGAACATGGAATTGCGACTTATTAAATACTTTATCTCTACATAAAATTAATTCGGTGAAAAAGAGTTATACTTCTTTATTAAAAAAAAATTATGAAATATTCCTATTGAATTTTTATTTTTTATATATAATTCATCTTTTATGAAAAATAATCTTTAGACACAATATAAATATTTTGAGTAACAAAACTCCTTTCAAATATTTATCACAATTATATATTAGGACTCAAATTTAATCAATTCAATTAGAACATCTACATGCTACGTTGTTAAAATACATGCTATTTTTTCAAAATAATATACTCCCTCCATTCAAAATTTATTAAAATTTTAATATTTAAATATTATCCTAAAATAATTGATATTTTCACTCTTCAAAGTAATATTAACTACTTTTTTTTCCTAATTTGTCACTTCATTATTTATTCAATTGTTACTATTGTAACGTCCCAAATTTTCTAAAATTATTAAAATGATGTTTTGATTAATTAAATGATTTTATAAAATATTTTTAGAGGCTTTTAATAATTGAGTATTTTAAATATAATAAATATTTGTAAAAATTATTTTGTATAATATTTATTAGAGACATATATTTTTATGATATTTTGTTACAATAATTATTTGAAGAAAAATATGCATTTTATTATAATTTTTTATATATCTTATTTTAATTATAATTATATTGGGAGAAATATATTTATTTTATATATTATATATTTGTTAATTATGAATTATTGTATTTTGCTATAACTATTTGGATCGAGAGAAATATGTTTAGTTGATATATTATTTATTTATAAGTTTTAATATTTGAGGAAAAGAAAAAGAGAATTATGATTAAAGTATTTATTTAAGTATGAGTTAAGTTTTTAAGAAATGGGTTATGATGGTTCTTTTTTTATTTTTAGCTTCTCATATGAGAAAGAGAATTAGAGTTTATAGGAGAATGCTTGGAGATCCACATGCTTCATCAAGTATTTATCAAGATAAGGAGAGAGTGAGAAGTTTTGCCTTAGGCGTGAGATGTATGTTAAGTAGTGGGATCGACTCTCAATCCCAAATCTTTTTCTATTGCTTATATTGTATGAAGGAAACTTTTTCAGTTGATTGCATTATGTGTTTTTGGTCTTCTATATGATTCCTTATTGTTCTATTTGATGTTAAGTAGTTGTATATGTCTCTAATTTCGTGATTGAACTTGTAATTATGGAGTTTGGATTGCCTGTAGGTTCTTGTGAGAATCCTAAATGGTTATTGTGTGAGTAATTAATAAGGATATATAATTAAAATATGAAATTGATGTTGGATTTGAGTAATTGATGATATAATGGACTAGTGTTAAACTTTAATCGTGATTTTTACCAATTGATTTGGAGTTTTTTAGGTTTGTATTTTGCGACTTTTGCATAGTCCATAAGTAGGTCTCCTACGAATTGATATTACGTTAGGTTTCAAATGGGTCGAGTCGGGCGCCAATTGATATTGTTCTTGCAAGTTTTCACGTTAGTTATGGTCTCAATCGCATGGGGCACGTGTATTCCCAAAATGGTGTTGTCCTTTCCACACTGGACACAATAAACATTGCGCCTGGCGTGATACTATTAGAATTAGGTTTTATGATCTTCATAGAAGTTGGAGATAATTGTCATAGTTTTCTTAGAAAATTAAGATCAACTTGATAGCATATATATACCTCTAGATTAGGTGTTTGAACCACTCAATGTCTTAAAAGATTAAGTTATAAGAATGTAATTTGTGAATGGTGATGATGAATAAGTTTACTTTTTAAATGTTTGATCTTATGAATAGTTGGATGTACCTATATCTATGTATAGGAAAGATAAATCATGGGAGAAATTAATTGTTAATAAGTTATGATATAAGTTTATTGTTAAAGCCTTAATCTATTTTGATGATATCAATGTCTAAGAATTTAACGTGTGATATTGATAAGGCTACTATGCTAGTTAAGTTATGATTTAAATGCTTAGTGTCATTAATCTCTTAGTAACTATGATCGAGGTGTTAACATATGATTAGACGATCTCATAATGATTATATTTTGAGGTGTATTAGATGATGTGTAATTGTTGTGTTTAAACTATAAACATGTAGAATCATTGTACGAATTAATATTGATAACTAGTTGCGGTATGCGAGTATGCTATTGATATGATTGTGCGATAAGTATGAGTTGTAGCGATGTGATCTCTTATGCCATTGATTACTGATATTTAATTAATATAATTGAATTTTTAATTGCTATATTGAGAACAATTGATGATTATATGATATGAGGTCAATTAATAGTGAAATGATATGATAATGTGATAAAACATATCATATATAAATTAATGAGATCATGTGAATTGTGATGGATAGAGTCTGTTGACATGCATCATATGTATAAAAGTATTTTTAAGGATACAATATGAAATATATCGCTAAAGAAAGCCCACTTGTGTAAAAGCTTGAAGATCAGTCCTTGGGAATAACTTGTTTGAAAGTTTCAATCTCATTTTTTGTGTGCATGAGATGTATCTTGCGCAGCTTAACTATCTTAACTAGACCCTGGTAGTATGTCCCCCTAATGCGAGTGCGTTGAGAGTATGACCTAACATGTACTCTTAGATTACTCTACGTGTATTGTTAGCGACAATGCACAAGTGTGATGTGTGATGTTTTTATTGGTGTCACATGCATGATAATATGTAGTCCATATCTATTGCATATGCATTTTAATGTTATGTGTTATTTAATTATTATGTCATGAAAGAATGAAATGAGTTATTGTTACCAATTTGTCCATGTTGTGTATATATGTATATCTCATTTGTGTTTGATTGTCTAATTACATCTTACGTTGTGAGACAAAATGAGATGTTTCTCACTCTCCTTTTTTGTATTTGTTTCTATTGTATGTTGTTGTAAGTGATTTACATCAAGAGGTTGAGGATGTTGGCGGTGAAACATAATCCTTGCAATTAGATTTATGTTTTGATAGGATGTGACATCAAAATTTAGTCTAAATTTGTTTTTCTTTACGTTATATTTTAGGACAATTGCTATTTCAATGTATTAGATTCATTTACATTATGTTGCATATTTTGATAAAGTTTTCTATACAATTTTATTTATTTGCATATTATAGGATACAAGATAGAGAATGTCACAACTATTAAAAGTAATACATTTATTAAAAGAGTAAAATTACTTTATTATTATTAAATGTGTTAAAAAATAATATATTTATTATTATTCTTAATCTATGTATAAAAACTTTAAAATACAATAATTGTGTAATGGAAGGAGTATGGTTATAGAGAAAAGGTGGGTGTAAAAATGCTACTCACCATGTACAGTCAATCATTATAGGTAACAAAATTCCTCCCATATTTAATGGAATTACATACCAAGACTAAAACGTAGTACCATTAATTCTATAAGAACATTCATACCCCAGATACATGTTCTGGATGATAATTTTCAATGGCATGTGCTACTTTGTCATAAATTATATATGCTGTTATTGTAAAGACAAGGTGGCTTTAAAAATGCTAGTCACCATGTACAGTCTCCTCCACTCCCCCCAAAAGCCTAAATTATGTGTTATTTGTCGAAATGGCTATAGTAGTAAAAGCATTCAGTTTTCTTGGCACTAAAATTTTCACAATCACCTCAATGAAAATTTTAGTGTAAGCAATAATGGTTCTGTTAATGGTCGATTATTAACTTTGGTAAAAATTATCTGTTTTAAAAAAAAATTCGGACGCAATTGAAGCTGGATACACCGAACAATTAAAGGGAATTTTAAGAACCATACACTATTGTTGGTTAAAAAACGTGGACAAGTAATCACCAGAACTGTGGACCAATGGAGAGGCAGCAACTTCAAATTCAGAGAAAATAAGATAACTATTGAAAAATGTCAGTCTTAGCTTGACTTTTGAATGTAACATCGTATAACAAGAAAATTAAATTATGAGAAGAAGAAAAAAATGCCTAGAGACATAAACCTTGAGCTAAGTGACACAGTTGTGATGTTTTGTTAAGCCAAGTATCCACCTTCCTGTGCCACACTTGAGATTAGTTAAGGCAAAATGCTCATGCAAAGCCGAACTCTGCAAGAATAGTATATAGAAAGGTAATGGCAGCACAAGGCCAAGCCTTTCAACTTGTCTTCAGTGATTATTGTGTAGAGGTTCCATTTGTAACCCAATACTGCTTGACAGCAATCAGTATCTTCTCAGGAACAAGTGGACCATCCTCATGATCAACCATTTTAGTATCCCATTTCATTCCTTCAACCAATTTCTTTACCTTAATTAAGATATCGACTTCATCGCGGAATATTACAGCACCTTCTGGGCGTAAAATCCGGTCCATCTCCAGAAGAATGTCTTCTATATTACATCTGCATTTAATTATCACACAACATTAATTGGGGCACAAGACTGAACACAACTTCTGATAAAAGGAAACAAAAAGGACTTAAACCAAGCGGTTCTACTAGTGATAACTGTAAGACAATGTTTGAATAAATTTTTTCATAAACACATATAGGAAAAAATAAATAAATAAATAAATTTTTCTGATGAGCTAAAATTAGCTTATGTATAACTTAATTTATAGAAACTCTTTCATTTCATTTTTCCAAAAGTTGATTTTAACTTACGTATAAACTAATTTTAAGTTATTAGAAAAACTAATTTCATTTTCTCTTTTCTTTTTTTCTCCTATGAGTGCTCAAGGATAAGTTTACCCAAATGGACCTAAATCCATATTAATAGCTCTTCAGGAGGTTGTTTAGACATCCAAATATATAGAAATTGACTGATCAACAAGATTCAGTGAAACAAAACAACTGCAATAGATGTTATATAACAATCTCACTGGAAGGTATAACCACTAGCTGATTCACCATGGAGAATCATAAAAGACCAACAAATCATGGAACAATGAAACCAAGGCTTCATGACAAAATAGAATTTTAATCTAAAAGCAACATGATCAGTTGCAATTTTTCATACAATGATCACAGCCAAAAATACACATAATAAAGTACAGGTAATAATGTTTTCAACTATACAGGATATGCAAGCCACCCACATTAGACTCGACAAATGTGCTCAACATGACCAGAGCAAATTCCATTACAACTCTCTAGGGAAGTTGTTTAATTTCATTACCGAGAAATCATTTTCATAGCAGTAAAACTATAATCACATTCTAAAAGCAAGCCCAAATATATTGATTACAAATTGATATCGACTAAATTTAAAAATAACAGGAAGAAAAATTGAATAACCATTTAACCAAAGATACTTACGTATCCTTGTACAGACTAAAGAGACCATGGCTATGAATAAGGTCGTATGTCCTTGGGTAAGTGGAGAAGGCTTCGCACCTGGATCATAAATGCACACATAAATAATTAAGGAAAAATACAAGGGGAACATGTAAGAAGATTATAAAAAATTGTATAGCTATGAGAGGAACAAGTTAGTCACATCAAAATTCAATACAATTTATCATAATAATTGGCAGACTACATGTCTGTCATACTTTGGAATTTTGAAAATTATTTGACTATCAGTTCCAAGATTAGTATAGTTACAAGTATTCAAATACATGGGATAGACATGCCGTGAATAAAATAGAAGGAAAAAGTTGGAAAGCATACCAATCATGATAGATGCCTATAAGTCCTCGCTCATAAATGACACCCAGGGTACTTTTCTCAGCTATTGTAGGCACAACATTCATAACCCATAACTTCGATGATTGAATAGCAGCAGCAAAACTACCCAATCCAGCATTCATATCCATAATGTTGCGATACCTTCCAGAATCCAGGAGTCTGTTAATTTTCTTATAAGCATTTACATGCTTTTTCCACTTTTTGTTATCTTCTTGGTATGACTCAACCGAAACTCCAGGAACAGAGCCACCAGCAATTCTAGGAGGGATGGCATATAGCCTATCTGGAAATGGCTTAAGGTCACCAGAAACTTTAGGACTTGGAGTAATGCAGACCTCCATTTTCTTATACCTGTACCGATAAAACAAAGTCATTCCAAGTCAATACACCACTTGCTCAAATTTTCAGGATATATAATATCCATAAAGAGACACCCTTGTGTGAAATTAAAGAAAATGATTGGTTTTTTAATATTTCATTATCTTATGATATATAAATTGGAATCATCAAGCTTTTCATAATTACATGTGCAAACATCAAAGAAGTAGCAACAGTAATTACACATTTAATTTCTATTGGCTTCTCTACAACCATAAGGGTATTGGTACAATTGCTGATTTTCTTTGAATAGAATATCCAATTTTTTTTTACACCTTTTTTTTTCATTTTTATGTACTCATGTACGTGCTTATGGTTAGTAAAACGAGATACAAGGAATATTAATAATAGGACATTAAAATATACAAATTGTTTATCACTAAATAAAGGGTCATACCAGACATCATTAGCATCTGTTGATTCACAGAATTTTACACTAGAATCTTCTTGTCTGCTGCGACATGATTCAGAGTCCAAAGTTTTTTGCCAAATGGCAATTTCAGACTTCTCAGACTTCTTCTCCCAGCAAAGGAGTTTAGCAGTCTCTTCAATCTTTCTTTGTTCTTCTTCAAGATCCTCCCTAGGTCTCTGCCAGGCTTTGTAGTTAACCTTCCAATTGATTGGAGGACCAGAAAGCACCCAATAACCACCAGGTCTTAGTACTCGGTCAACCTCCATCATATACATCCCATCTGCAAATAAACAACCAAATTTACATTTGTAAATAGCAGCTATCACAAGTTATATAAGGTGCAAAATCTAAGAGAACAAGAATGAACGAATAATTGTAGTGCTTTCTTATTTATAACAAGTACTTCATCGAGAAGATTATACTCAGTAATGTAAATATCTCACCATTTGCTCCCCAAGGAATCAAGCAGCGAGAGCAATGTGCCATGTCAAAAGCTGCAGAAGGATAAGGCAATTTTATGGTTCCCAGAACACCAATGACAGCAGGTACACCCCTTTCAAGAGCAAACTGTACTTGTGCTTCATGAGAGTCCCTTGGCGCAAATGACATGGCAATAACATTTCTGCTCCAGAGATATGCACCCCAACTGGCAACCTGGGCAAAACAACCTTAATTAAGAATATAAACCTAAAACAAACAAATTACGTTGTTAATAAAATTAACCAGTACAAGAATGAAAAAAAAATTCCATGACAAACATACCCCACAACCAGTGTCCAGTGCTGTCCTAACAGTCCCATCCTTTATAGGTATCACAGAAGCAAGCTGATCAATATATTTGTCTGCACCTTGTGGAAATTGGGTTCCACCACCAGGGAATCTAAACACATTTCCCTCGTACTGGATCCAGTTCTGAATAGCCTTCTCAACTGTAAGGCTCTTGTACGGTGCATTTGCATATGGAACATAATCACGGCTCTTCGGCCATGGAAATGGCGTTACATACCCCTTGGGTGCTGGGATCAAACAGTGCAACTTTTCTTCCTCAGGGGGGCAATGCCTCTCGCGATAATTCATATTGTCTCTAGGAAAAGTCATGGCACGCCGTTGATCTTGGCAGGGAGTGTAATCAGTGTATCGAGCATCGCAAGCTTCAAATACCTTGGATTTTGACTCAAATTCATCAATTTTGCTAACTTCTCCACCATGGTGAGAGTCAAAACTCAAATTTGGAATTATATTACAGTTTGTTTCTTTCTTAGTAATCTCCAATGCGATGCTATCTCCCTTTCCAAAGCCACTTCTCTGCCATGCACCCAATATATAGAAGAAACAGCACAGACCAACTATTATAAAGATCTGCACAGAGCTTCTAGTCCTACCATCAGCTGAACTCGGTTTTGCCATCTAGAACCTCAGGAATATCAGTTGCTAGTTCTTATTAAGAATTACATAAATGATAACTCATGATTAACAAAGCAAGATCCGTGACAGAAAACTTAAATCAAAGCAAGATAATTGCTTCCAAGTTCCAATAAATCAATTGACGAAATTAAGCTCCAATAATGAATCATGCAGTTTACTTTCAATTAACATCATGAAGCAATTATTACTACGAAACATATTGTACAACTTGGAGTGGGGGATGCAAAGGGAACTTCAGATCTTCACGACAGCATAGAATTAAAGCTCCATTGGTCGCAAATGTTCCTCTTGCCAACCAACAACAAGATTAAAGAGAGATTATGCATTTGTGTACTACCAACAATAACAGAAACATTAAAAGACAAAACAAAAACATGAAACACGCTCAAGAGCTAACCACATACTAGGTGAATCACGTGGGATCTAGCTTTAGGAAAATGCGATGCAAGATGCACACACAAACGAATTCAGAGTTATGAATGAAGACAAACACACGAAACCTTGCTAAAGAGAATTCACTTGGGGGCACAACATGGATATTAAAAAACAAAACTTTGGAAATACCCAGAAACAAAAATGACCATAAAAAGCAAGAAAAATAGGAAGAGGAAGATAAAAGGAAAAAAAAAAATTAAAATGAGGGAAATATCTTACCAATCATATGAAGCTAAGGGGAGCAATGGGTATGAAGATCTGGGATTCCTAGGAGGAACGAGTTAAGAGAGAGAGAGAGGATTTTATAAATTTTGTGGGGAACGAAAGAATAATTTTGGTTACTGCATGGACAGTGAGACGTGTAAATAAAAAATCTGTATCCAATTCTAAACCCTATTACCATCGGCTTCTATAAGCATCAATCATGTTCACATGAACGAACAGAAGAAAAGGGAAAAGGAAAAGCTAAAGAAAAATAAATAAATAAAAGAAAAGATAAAGGGAAATGAAAAAAAATCTATCAATTATGCTTCTGCTGAGAAATGTGTGTTACGTCATTTTTTCCCCCTTTTTAATTAGTATATAGTTAGAGTATTAATTTTAAACGGCATGCCTACAAATAATACACACGATTCCCTCTTTTCAATTATTTACTTACCTAGATAACATTATTTTCAACAACATTATTTTATTTAATTATATATTTTTATTAAAAAATTGTTACTACCAATAATTTGATATTTATATTTTTTAATTAAAGATGAATTCTAACCTATGTCAGAACGAAGTCGTAATTAAAAATATAATTTTACCTTTAATATAAGCTAATTTTAGACTAGACAGAACAATTTTATATTATTTAATTTTATTTATTTATATATTATTTGATCTATGTACTTATATTTTATTTTTCTCTAAAATAAATAATTTGACATTTTACCATTTTTGTTGGTAGGAGTATTTGACTATCAGAAAGTGTGACGAGTGGCGAGATTTACGTTTCGAACTTTTTTTTTTTTTTTTGCGTTTTCTAATAAAATATATAAAAAATATTTTTAATAATTACTTTTTTAATGTAAATTTTATAATTATTTTTAATTTAAAATTGATTTAACTAATTTTTAATAATAGTATTTTTATTTTTTAATTATTATTTCTGTAATTATATTCTCAATTAATTAAAAATTAAGATTAATCTTTATGAATTTTTAGTGTGAAGATTTTCATATTGTTAATTAAAATAAAATATTTTAAGCATAACCTTTTTAGTATAAAAAATTTTATTTCCTAATATATTTTAATTATTTTTTTGTAGAAATTATTATATAATAATAATAATAATTGTAAAAATAAAAATATTGTTATAATATGAATTTATAATTCAATAACAATCTAAAAAATATTTAAAGTATAAAAACATTCTAATTAATTTCTGTTTTAAAGGTATTTTGATTAGTTTAACTATGCTTTTAATCATTTAAATATGAGATAAATTTAATTTTAGTTGTTCAAATTGAAAATAAAATTTCTAATATCTACAATTTTTTTAAAAAAATACTTTTAGTTCTTTTACTCAAACATCATTGATAAATTCATCACAAAATTCAGTTACTGCTACATTTGTTATACACATTTTAAAGTAAAAATATCACTCCAAATTTAAGTTAATCATATATAATTGACCATTTCTTATTTGTGATATTGTGAATTGTCTTAAAGAGATTATTTTTAAAAAAAATTATAAAGACTAAAAAATAATTTTGATTATAAAAAACAAAAATAAATTTGAATTTTTTTATTCATCAAAATTACAATAATAATATCAAAATTTGGATCTAAGATTTTATACATGCTACTCCAACCTTCACTATCATAAACTTAATATTTATTTATTCATTATAATTATAATACTTGAATCTAATATCCTGTATATATTATTCCAGCTCTACCATAACTTATTTTAAGTTTAAACAACTAAAATCATATTTAAACCTTTATTTTTTTCATAAATAATATACGTATGTTGTATTGAAATTTAAAAATAATGTGTATAATTGAGTTTAAGGGATATTTTTATATAAAACATGAGATTAACAAAGTTTAATGATAGAAGTATATAATAACAATCAACAAAAAATATTTTGAATTAGTTGAAAATGTGTATATTTTATAATACTAGTAATTAATCATTTGAAAAAGATTATGAATTTGCGCGTTGGTGTTGTTGTTGTTGATATGAAAAGAGTGAGGTGTGGGGGGCACGATTGGCGGTGGCAAAAGGGTCCCACGCGCCACTAAAAGTGGCTTCATCATCATCATTCATTAAGATGTGACCAACCCATATGCTTTCTTAACTATTTTTGTTACACAAAACAAAACAACTTCTCATCGTACCGCGCGTGGATCCCACGTCCACGCCCACGGGTAATCATGCTTCCCACTTCATAACCACACACTATCATATATAAGCCCTTTCGCCTTAACGGCTTAAGGCTGGAAGGCAAGTGTACCGTCATGGTCGGATGCCGACTCCCTCAAGCCCTCACGGTTACGGTCGGATACCAAGATGGTGGACATGTGTACGGTGGCTTCGCTAGTGACTCAACCAGCTTCCCAAAGGTGAGCTCGGTTTTCAGCGGACTTGACACGGGAGCACCCCATATCGGATTTCTCTCGACACCTCGGCATGGGCCCAACCAATCAGAACCTGTCTGGGCCCTCAGTATGGACCCCGTCGGTCAAAACCTGACTGGGCCCTCGGCATAGACCCAGTCGGTTAAACCCTGACTGGGCCCTCGGCATGGTTCTTGTCGGTCAGAACCTGGCTAAACCTGTTCCCCTTATTCCCGCGCCATCGAGATAATAACGGTTATCAAAATCCTGCCATTCTCGGGGCCCAAGAGGCCCACGAGCAACATACTATAAAACCCAAAACCCTAGAGTTGAGAAGGCAGATTACACTTTTGAATGCTCTGGCTTTGAGGCTCGACCTAGGCAGAAACCCCAGTCCATCCCTTAGCCGGAACAATATATATATATATAAAAGAGTCGGTCCAAGTATAAAATTGTCCAAATCCTAATTTTAGACGCTTAAAATATTTATTTTACTTATATAATTTAATAAATCAGTTGTATCAATACTAATTTTAATTTGTTAGTTATTGTTTAAATATAATATTATCAAGACTAAAATTTAATTTTTGTATTGTAAATTTTTATTAAAAATTCTTTTTTATAGGTGACTGTTGATTTTCTTATATCTCTTATCTTTAAAAATCTTTTTGTTTCAAAACATGTTGGGTCCATCCTATCATATATCAACACATGGGGATTTCATATAGCCTTATAATCTTATCATATATTTATAATTTAACACAATTACGATGATGAACTTTAAAATTATAATGTCGTACAAATTATTTTCTATCATCAATTTAATTCTAGTAACATCATGTTTGGTTTTCATCTGCATATAAGCTCAAATGTTTAATAAAGAGTATTTTCGAAAATAATAAAACAAATAGTACTGAGAAAGAGGGAGGGTTGATAATCGATAGACATTTTCGTATTTAATTCTTATTTTTCTACGTTAATAAATTTTAATTGAATTTTTAGCCTCGTAATAATGTGTCCATAAATAATCCTGAAAATATCTTCTATGAAGACCACCGACAGAATAATAACATGGACATGGTGCCGCAAGCAGATAATTATTTATCGGTCTTTTAATGTTTTGCATTAAAATAAATTGTTTTAGCTGAGATTTCAAAGAAAGAATCAAACAGTTCGAATAAATAATATTAGTTAAGAAGGTTCAAAGTTAGATGAAGCTTTTGCTTTCAAGTTCATGAATCGCATTAACCATTATAAAATTAAGAACACAGATTTTTTGTGGTGCCCATAACTAGCCATGCCGTCCTTATTCTCCTAGATAGCTATTTAATTATTGTATTTTATTCTTCTGCGTTTTGTTTTTAGTATAGATATTGATTGATGCCATATTTTATTTTCTTGTTGACTACAATAATAATGCCATTTTAGGCATTTACACAAATGTCACTCACAACTTTGCAATACATCCCATTTTATTATTAAATGTGTATTTGAGACAGATTTCAAGATTTAGATCCAATCGAGGTCACGTAATCTCTAATATGATAATTAATTTGACCAAGCAAATAACGTTAGATTCCAAATTCTTTACCAAGAAAAAAAGGAGATGAGTGGAAAAGGTCAAGAATGAGTTTATGATTATCCAATGTATTCAATAGAATAGAACTTTAACTAATTCCGTAAAATGAAATTGCAGGCTAACCTAAATTAGAGTAAGCTCAACCATACCGATGCAGATGGAACCGTATTTTTTTTATTATAAATTTTTTAATTAAATTATATGGGTCAATTAATTTCATTAAATTTATAAAATAAAATTACAATTTATCAATTTTTCTTTTTTTACTTATTATTAGGTTTTCAAGAGAGGTGAAGATATTATCCGATATCAAAACTAATATATCAATATCAATAAAAATAATAGATGGCAAAAGGAGAGAGTTTAAAAAAAGAAAGAAAAATACATATTTTTACAATTTTTAATAAGAGAAAAAACTACTATTTTTTTTTTAAATTATAAGATACCTTATAAAAATAAGAAATTTTTCTAAACTATACTTTATAATAAAAACCTAGGGGAATAATTAATTATTTAATACTTAATGAGATAATGGAATACCATACATATCAGATAACAAAATATATTATTATTTTTTTAAAATTAGATATATGTGGGTTCGGTCAAATATGGGCTCAAAAGGTCTAATTAGTAATTATACAAAAATAGAGTGCTAAAAAATATGCCCCGTAACGGACGGTTGGATCTGCGAATCAAGCCCGGTTTAGATTAAATCAGTTATGAGGTTAAATCGGACACTTCCTTCCGTTTTCTTTTTGGTTTTCACTAGGGATGGCAAAAATACCTGCATCCGCGAATATTTACGGGTAAAATCCGTTACGGATAATAAATGGATAGGCTAATTGGATACCCGCGAATAATGGGAACGGATAATTATTTACCCGTTTATAAACGGTGCGGGGGCGGGTATGATGATATCCATACCCGCGGGTACCCGTTTAATAATATTTCTTAAATATCATAATTATCCTTGTACCACATAACCCTAAAACTATACTCTCATATTTTTTTCTTACAAAAAAGAGGTTGATTAAGTTACCAACATGCGTTAAGCATGTTATGAAATTATGTTGGATGTAATTTAATTAATTTTCTAGCTTTGATTGGACCAATAAAATTTATGTATTTTAATTTGTTTACTTGCGTTTGAAATTATGAGAGATTGAATTATTGTAGCTTTGTGATGAGACTTTAACTTACTTGTGAGATTGATGTATTTTATGTTATTGATTATCTTGCATTTTTATTATTATTTCAACAAAATTAACGTTAAATACAAGTTCAAAATTAACATTAAATTTTTATTTATAATATTTCAATGACATTAAATATAAACTTAAAATTATTTGTAATGTAATTTTTTAAACTTCTTAAAAAATTTATAAATATCCATGGATATCCGTGGGTATTCAAGAAATTCATGGATACCCGCTTAATAGATACCAGTGCAAATATGGGGTGGGTATGGGGCCAATTTTCATCCAGCGGGACGGGAGTGGGTTTACTATTACCCGCCTCATGGGGCCCCATTGCCATCCCTAGTTTTCACACGCACCTACTTATTTTTTTCTCTTTCACTCTTCACCTATTTTAATAGTTATTTTTAATTCTTTCGATTTTACATTACTTTTTTCTTTTTCTCTTTTAGTTTTCACATTATTATCCTATTCCTCCTCTTTTTTAGTTTTCACATGCACCTAGGAAATATAACTAGTTTTTGACAGTGTTATAGGCGCGTGTGATTTCCTCGACAATGTCAAAGGTGTTGAGCCAAATATGTGTTTTTTCTCCGAGTACTTCCTCAATTTACATGTTTAGAAAGCAAGACATCAAATCATTTAATATTTTAGAAAGTACTTTATGGAAAGTACTCCAAAATAGTGAAATTAGTGCTCCAGGGTATCTTTTCCATAACACTAAATTTAATGTTAAAGTTTTTGGAGGAGTGAAAGGGGAAGAAGTGTTGGAAGAAAAAATGTGCATCTAGCTCGATAGATATTATCGAGGAAGCTAGACGTTGTCCTGCATCAGTTCTATGATTTGGGTGCGTGTAAAAAGTTAAAAAGGTGAGAGAAGAAGAGAGTAATGTGAAAACTGATAGAACTAAAATTACCTACTAAAATATTTGAAAAATAGAAGGAAAACAATCGGATGCATGCAAAAAATGAAAGGGAGAAGAAATAAGATATGTGAAAAAGTAGAAAAAAGTGATAAATTGAAAGTTAGAGATGTAAAATTAAAAAATTAAAGATATTTTAAATTTTTTTTTTAAAAAATAAAATAAAGGAAATGCACTTATTAAAAAGAAAAGTATATATATCATGAGTCTTAAAGTTATTTTTTGAGTTTTTAAATAAAAGGCCACGTTTACGATGGCCCATTTGAAAATTTAATTTCAGGTTAGTTGATTACATTATAAATAATACAATTATTTAGGCAGATATAATTATACTGTGCAAGGATTTTATTTTAATTTTACAGAAATACTGTGCAAGAATATTACTTGAACAAATAGTATTTGGGCCTTCTCAAATTTGAGAGTTTTTTTTCTCCTCAATTTTCTAATTATTTGATCATTTAAAATCTAAATGTAATGACCCGAAGATAATGTTCCAGTTATAATTTTGTAAAACAAAAATAAGATCGAAGTCAACAAAAATAAAAACATTTTGTACTTTTTATGTTCAAATAAGTAAAAATTAAGAACACTATATATTTTACATGAAAAAATAATAAAAAACAAACTTTTAAATTACATCTCGTCATCTTCATGTACAGGACATCAACATAAGTTCCATATTCGAGGAATGTTACCTGCAAACAAAAATTATAATTTAAAAATACAAAACAACGAAAGTTAAAAAGAAATTAACAAAAGTCCAATTTTGTTTAGATAAAAATCGTTTGTCAAAATTATAGTACCATGCTGTATCCTTTTCTTATAGTAGACACAATTTATATTATAAATTGTTTAAATAGTACTTGTTAGTTGTTAGCACTTAACAAAATCAATTGTGAAACGAAAAAATAAACGGTCTATTTGGATTTATTGGATTGGAATTCAAAGGGTTGCATCACTTTGAAATAGCAACACAAGCTTAGGAGTTTGGAAAGAGTTGACAAAGGAAGCACTTTGTAATTACCTCTTGGCAGAGTGGCCTATTGAAATTTTGGTCTTTTATTTGATAAAGGAAGCACATTTCCACTGCCACTTCCTTCTTCATTCCAGAGTTCTTTCTCTGCTATTGAAAAGTGGGGATTTATAAATCGAATATCTGTCATGTTTGTTTTTTGTTCCAGTACACGTATTCCCATCCATTCTATATCTTTTCCTCTTACATCAGGCAACAGAACAATCTCAGCAAGTTTCCATCCATTCCTAACACGTAATCCTTCATTTTCAATATCTCCTATTTCGAGCCCATCATACACAAAAGTATGATTTGTCTCATACTGCTTCCAACCATCTCCACCCGTGAAAATTAGTGGTATCTGTAATATGCCATTAACCATCAGGTGTCTCATAGAGCGAGGGTGAAGTCCAGCAGCACATAGAGTAATTGGCGGGAACTTGTTACGAAACCAGAAACGCAAGGATGGACCCTTGCTACTGCAATTCAACCAACTTGGCATACTTGATCCTGGAAATATGAAACTTCTGCCCCTATTCTCGTGTAGTCTCTGTCAATCACATTTAATTAAAATATGTCACTTAAGCATTCACTTTAAGTATGAGACAATATTCAAAACATAGATAAGATACCTCATTCAGTAACATTTCATTAGATTCGGAAGATAAAGATAGGCAATTGAAAGCTGAAAGAATTTTAAAGTTTGGTGGAAGGCCTCTGATTTCTCGAAGCCGCTTGCATCCATTCAAATAAAGTGCTTTCAAGGAGAGACAGACACTGATGGATGATGGAAGGATTGTGATATTGCTGTAATTAAGGGATAGGATTGTTACATTGCGCATCCAAGGAAGAACTGGGCAAAGAAATTGATCTGTCAAGTGATAACAACACTCAAAATTAATATAACTCATAGAGTTGGCACTTGAAGACATTATTTCTTGACCTTGACCTTCCCCATTCTGAACTAGAGCAAGCCTCTCACAATACTTAGCTTCCAAACGCTTAAGTTGCAGCGTAAAAATACTACTTGGTAGTTCAAGTAGCCATTTGCATCCATCGAGATACAGGTATTTGAGTCCAACTAGATTTCCAATTGAAAAAGGCAAGCCACGTATACCACTATCACTCAAATCAAGGAAACGCATTTTTTCCATCTTCCCTAAAATTTCTGGAAAACTCGTGAGACTTGTGCAATTATGAAGGTTCAACCATTCAAGTCTATTAAGCAATCCATCGGAGTCATGAATTTCAACTAAGTTTCTGCAACATTGAAGATCCAGTTTCTTCAGATTTGGTGCTCCAGACATGTCAGGCATTTTCTTTAGTAATTCGCATCCACTTAAGTTCATTTCCATCAAAGACTTGAATTTCTGAAAAAAAAAAAAAACAACATAGTAACTAATTTATGAATTTTTAAATGGACTTACAACTTATTAATATCCAAGACCAAATAAACATCAAGAATCCAAGATTGATAGCTACTAAATAATACCATGATCACTTGATCCGCGAATGTAAAATAACTCATAGGCAAGTCCAATATGACAAGTTTCTTTGGATCAAAATTAGCAGGTAAGGATGATTCAGGATATGCAGTCCATTTTAGCACTCTTAAACTTTTTGGGAGAACACTAGGTCCTCTAGAAAAGTGAGCATTTTCTACCACCAATATTTTAAGGTTTTCCATCTTCTCCAATGCGGTTCCATCCCATTGCACTTCTTTAACTTTAGGCAAGTGTAGCATGATGATCTCAGTTTTATCGGATCCCTTTAAGTCATAGTAGTCAAATTAGGATAAAGTTTTTCAAATAAAACTAACAAATTTTGTAAACATAAAATTTAATTGCAGAGGATTAACAACCAGTTTTCTGCTATACATTTGTCAAAAAGGAATCAGAGATAAATAAACGCTGCACAATGCACATACCTTGCTCTGTTTGAAAACACGAAGAATATCTTTAAAGAACCATAATCTACTGCGTTCACCTGGTTTAGAGGGTGATTCAAGCCGTACAATCTCTCTACCCATATCCTCAATCAAATCATGCATTTTCACACAATCTAGATCAATCTTTATTAGACATTTATCAACCAACACCTGGATAGCATAATTTGGGGCAGAGCCACGACCACTGTGTAGTATGCTTATGACATCATTCAGACGGTATCCTTTAAAGAAACAAGCAATGTCTAAAAATATTTCCTTTTCAAATTCCTTTAAGCCATCATAGCTTACTCTTAGGATTTGTTGAATATCTTCATGAGGAATTCTTTCATAAGTATCTAATGCTGACTTCCATTCCAATTCTGTCTTACCGTATAAATCAGAGCCTATTATTTCCAGAGATAATGGTAGGCCATTAGAATGTTGCAATACTCTCTTTGAAATGTCCAGATAACCAGGATTAACCCGCTTTCTTTTGAAAGCATTCCAACTGAACAGTTCAAGGGCCTCTTCTTGATTTAATCCTTCCATTTCATAGGTTCTTTCAACACCATGAACACGTAGCAAATGCTTATTTCTAGAGGTAATAATAATTCTGCTGCTAGGACCAAACCATTCTAGTCCACCTGCAAGTACTTCTAATTGCTTCAATTTGTCAACATCATCCAAAATTAAAAGAACTTTCTTTTTACTTAGCCTACTTTTAATTATTGGAATTCCTTGCTTTATATTCCCCAACTTGGTGTCTTTCTTTCCAACTATATCAGAAAGAAGTTTTTCCTGAAGTTGTACTAGCTCATGCTCCATTATTTTTTTTCCAATGTCGGCAAGAAAACAAAGGCCTTCAAATTGATGAGCAATGAAATTGTATACTGCACAAGCAAGTGTTGTCTTTCCAATTCCCCCTATTCCATAAATCCCTCCCATGTGGACTTCATCATTTGACTCAAGATCAAGAAGTGACTTCACCTTTTGGACGCGAGACTCTAACCCAACTGGGTAATGAGTAACATGTAAAGTGTTACGGTTGATCCTTTTAGAGACTTCTTGAATGATCTTTCCAATGATTTCACATTCGCACCTGCCCAAATACAAAAAAAAAATGTGAATAGAATGTTGAACCAATCCAATAAAATAAAAAATAATACACATATAAAAAATGACACTTTATGTTCATGTAAAGTGTCTTTTCTACATGTATTACAACAAAGTTTAAAGTATATTTATTGAATATATACTTCAGACTAATGATTTTATTTTCACAAAAAATGGCAAAGCATACAACATAATTTGACCAAGAAATTATATGTACTGTATAAGTGTGAACAATTTCATGGCAAATTGGTGCCTTCAAAAATCCCATAAAATGGCAAAGCATATAATATAATTTGATCAAGAAAATTAAATTAGGTAAAATCAAAGAGAGTTGCTATATAACCCAAATGCTTCTAAGAATATACATTAATTATTTTTTGGACTAATATTTATACTTTTAGCTAATTTTTAATTATTACTACAAAAACTGATTTGGTATTGATAAATGTCTAATTAGTTTGATAAAATTTAAATTTGAGACACTTATCTAACACACTTTTTGTATATATTGATATAATTTTGGCAAATACATTAAGAATCAAAGAGGGGCTCTTAATTTACATTATTACATGGAGTGATGAGTTTTTGATCAGATTTTCCTCTTATTTTGTAGTTTTTGAAATCTGGAGACGGCTGAGCGTCTTGAAACGGCTGAGCGCTTTCAAGGTTAAAATCAAGTTTTTGAAATCTGGAGGCAAACGGTTGAGCGCCTTGAAACGGCTGAGCGCCTTCAAGCCAGAGAGCTCAACAAATGCAGCAAAGGAGAGGCGCTAGCCACTCTAAGGCGCTGAGCGGATTTGGCCCTAGAAGAAGGAGTGCTCTCTGCCTCCAAGGCGCTTAGCGGATTTGAACGGCTCAGCCCTTTAAATTACTTCATGGTGAAGAATTCTTCAAACCGCTCAGCCGTTTCAAGGCGCTGAGCGAATTCTTCTCTTTCCTGCCTACTCTGTTTTAATTCTAGCACTTATAAAAGGGCAGAGGAGAGAGAAAAGGGGATCACAAGTTGTACGAAGTGAAGAACAGAGAGGAACGAGGAAACAGAGCACTTTGGAGCTCGTGGGGACGCGATTCTTCAGAGGATCTCTTTCTTCTACCTTTCCTCTTGTTGTTTTGTGATTCCTTGTACCATGGAGAGCTAAAGCTCTAGGTTTGGGATTAATGTAGTCATCAAACTCCTGTGTATTCCTCTTTGATTTATATATACACATCTCATCTATTACTCAATGTCAGTGATTTGTATTCTGTTCTTAATGTTTTGATAAACTGATCATTTATCTTTGATCTTGGATTTAGAATTTGGTTGGAAGACGTTTTCTGAATCTAGACTTGAAACAAATCACCTATTAGTTTTGAGAGCCAGGGATGGTCTTGAAATTAATAGTTGCAACAAGTTCTGATTCTTAATGCGGGATATTGAACTGAATGAAGTGAGGAATCATTCATTGAGTTAAATATCTCAGAATTTCTTATGCCAAGGGATTGGGTTTGAATGAAAATAGAGAACTCAATGGCAATGAGTAATGAAATCATTTGATAGAATCATTAGGAATACATAGGAGGGAGATTGATGAATTTAATCCCAAACTGTTTCTCATATCTGTTTTTCTAAAATTAATTTGTCTTTTGGTTACTTAACTTTGATCGATCATTCACAACAAGTTTCGAATATATGTACTCACTCAATTTTCAGTTCACAAAGTTTCAATTAGTATAATAGAAATCATAGCTTACTTCACAAGTCCCTGAGGATCGACAACCTTTCAAATATACTACAGAGACTTGGGTGCACTTGCCCAGAAAATCCAACAAGTTTCTTGGCGCCGTTGCCGGGGACTTGTGTCAAGATAGTTTGTGACTTCTATTATTCTTGTTGTAGCTTGTTTTTGTATATTTGTTCTGTTTTCCTTTTGTTGAATATATTCTTTATCTAGGTGTTCTAACCTTTCTGTTTAAGTCAGTCTTTGTAGCTTATTGTATAAGGCAGGAACAGGAAGGCACTTCCACCTCAGTTTCAGCTCAAAACTCTACTCCTAAACCAATGGCTGAAGAAGGACCAGGTGGTGATAGACCACCTCATCATCCTCCAAGGAGACTCCTAGGAGAATATAATCATCAGTTGGGTCCTAGACACTTCTCCAGTATTGTCAGGCCAACCAAGGGGGTGGAGATGAAACCAGCACTATTATCTCTCATAACTGCCAATCAATTTGCAGGGATGGACCATGAAGATCCCTACACACACCTATCTTCTTTCTATGAGCTCATTGGCACTATGGGCGTTCCTGGCGAAGATGAAGAAGCGGTATATCTGCGATTATTTCCTTTCTCTTTGACAGGTAAGGCCAAGACATGGCTGCAGGCCCACCCAAATCAGAGCCTGACCAGATGGGAGGATGTAGAGCGGAAGTTCTTGGCAAGATTCTTTCCTCCTTCCAGATATATAAGTGCTAAATCAGCAATTGCAACATTCTCTCAAGGTGTTGATGAACCTTTGTGTGAAGCTTGGGAGAGATATAAATCTTTGTTGAGGAAATGCCCAAATCATGGGTTTGATGATGTTGCACAGCTCAACATGTTCTATAATGGGTTAAGGCCGCAAACAAAGATGTTATTGGATGCTTCTGCTGGTGGTTCTATGATGATGAAGGATTCTGAGGAAGCAATCACTATTATTGATGCTTTGGCAGCCAGTGATTATCAAGCTCACCATGATAGGAGCCAGCCCACAAAAAGGGGAATTCTGGAACTGGATACTCAAAATGCAATTCTAGCTCAAAATAAACTCCTTTCTCAGCAGATGGAAGAGTTAAAGAAACATATGTCCAAGCTTCAAGTAGGATCATCTTCACGTCCTCATCAAGTAATGAGATGTGATTTTTGTGCAGGTGATCATCCAAATGGACATTGTACTATCTCTGAGCCAGATCAGGAGGAGGAAGTGAATTACATGAACAATCCAGGAAGGCAAGGGAATTTCTATGGCAATTATAATCAGAATCAAGGTTGGAGGAATAATCAAAATCAGTATTCTGGGTGGAAGCAAGAAGCAGGGCCATCACAAAGGCAACCTCCACAGAAGCTATATCAAAATCAATCTTCCTATCAGCCATACAGGTTATCAAAAATGGAGGAAGCTCTTATACAGTTTATGCAAGTTTCCACAACCAATCAGAAAAATACTGAAGCCTCTATCAGAAGTCTGGAAGTACAAATAGGGCAGTTGGCTAAGCAGTTGGCAGAGCAGCAAAGCAATAATTTTTCAGCCAATACACAGGTCAATCCTAAAGAGTATTGTCAGTCAATCACAACTAGGAGAGGCACTGAAGGGGATTGGTGATAATTTGAGAGAAAATAAAGATGGAGTGGATGAAGATAAGAGTGAAGTTGAGTTGAAAAGTGAGAAAGAGGTGGAGGTGAATAAAGAGGCAGAAAAAAATGAGAAAAATAAAAAAGAGAGTGAAAATGATGGAAGGAAAAATGGAGTTGTGAGGGAGGAGAGTAAGAAGAAGGGGAAAGAAGTTGTTAGGCCTCCTCCTGTGAAGAATCTACCTTACCCACATGCTCCATCAAAGAAATACAAGGAACGCCAGTTTACAAGGTTCCTTGATATAATCAAGAGGTTACAGATTAACATACCCTTTGCAGAGGCCTTGGAACAGATGTCATCTTATGCTAGATTTATGAAGGAACTTCTGACAAAGAAGAGGAAATTGAGTGAGGATGGAACAGTGGAGTTAGAGGCAGGTTGCAGTGCTATAATTCAAAGGTCACTTCCACAAAAATCTAGAGACCCAGGGAGTTTCACCTTGCCAGTCACCATTGGCGATCTCTTTGTGGGCAAGGAATTATTGGATTTAGGGGCTAGCATCAATCTTATGCCCTTATCTATGTTAAAGAGGATAGGTGATGTGGAGGTGAAACCTACTAGGATGACTCTGCAGCTGGCTGACAGATCTATTAAGTACCTTCATGGTATTTTTGAAGATCTCTTGGTTAAGGTTGATAAATTTTTCTTTCCAGTTGATTTTGTTGTCATGGACATGGAAGAGGATTCTGAGGTTCCTCTCATTCTGGGTCGGCCATTCATGAAGACAGCTAAGGTCATTATAGATGTTGATGATGGAAAACTCAAGGTCAGGGTGCATGGTGATGAGGTGAATTTTAATAATTTTGAAGCTATGAAACACCCAAATGACAAGAAAGATTGTTTTAGAGTGGATGTGATGGATGAAGTGTGTTTGGAATCTGAAAGAAAATTTTCATTAGCCACACCAGTAGAGAAGTCATTAAATTTTGATATGAAAGCTGCAAGTGAAAAAAGGAAACTTCAATTACATGAACTTGAAGAAATGCGTTTGCAGGCTTATGAATCCTCAAAAATTTACAAGAGTAAGGTGAAGTCCTACCATGACAAGAAAGTTGTGCAGAGAAAGTTCCAACTAGGCCAACAAGCATTATTGTTCAAGTCCAGGCTGAGATTATTCCCTGGAAAGCTCAAGTCCAAATGGTCAGGTCCTTTTGTGATTAAATCAGCTATAACTTCTGGGGCAGTAGAGTTGGAAGAACCAAAGTCTAGAAGATCTGGGATGATGAATGGTCAGAGAATTATGCCATATCTGGGTGGTGAGGTTGAGAAACTTACCACTGTCAGTCATCTCAAGGATCCATGACTGAGTGAAGTGTCAAGCTAATGACAATAAAGAAGAGCTTACTGGGAGGCAACCCAACCATTTTGGTTTGAATTCTCATTTTCATTTTATTTTAATACTTTACATATGTAATTATGCTTTTGAAGAGTTGAGTTTGTGATTTTATGTTTTGATGATGCATTCTATCAAATGTTTTGTTCCTTCAACATTCTCCTCTCTTGTGTTATGCTTTTTATAGTTTATTGAAGGTAACTGGAAGTGGGAGTGTGAAAGGAGATCAAAATGTGCTTCTTCCAGGTAAGTCTACAAAACTGACAAAACGGCTCAGCCGTTTGGCTGCAGTGTCTAATTTTTAGCTAAAATTTTCCTCCCAGGGAGAAAACGGCTCAGCCCTTGAAAACGGCTCAACTGTTCATATCAGCAAAACATTTTGGTTGAGATTTCTGCATCAAACGGCTGAGCGCTTTCAAAGCGCTCAGCCCTTTTCTTTATATTGCTCTCTGCACCCAAACGGCTGAGCGCCTAGAAAGGGCTGAGCGCCTCAAAAAAAAAATTGAGAAAGACCAATCCAAGAAAAAAAAAGTTATCCCTTTATTTGTCTTTCATTCCCAACACTTTCAAACCTAGTCTTCTCATTTTCTCTCACTTTCTTCTCTTCCACACACACCATCATTCTCTTTGATTCAAGGTAAGTTTCAAGCTCTCTCTTTTGATTTCTGTTGTGCCTTCATGTAAATATCTTATTAGTATCTGATGTGTTTTGTGTCCACTTGTGGTGATGATAAAACTCTTTTTGGGAATCAAATTGATAATCTTTCTGGAATGAGCACTTTCATGGTTCAAGTTTTCAATGAGCATTGTTTGCTAATATGGAAATCTACATTGTTGCACAAGTGGTTGTACATTTTTGACTTAAAGTGTGTGCTTCAAGCGTGTTCAAGTGAAATTGAAATGAGTCTGAAGTTGTTGATGTCTAGGGCACTTAACCAAACCGTGTGAGTGAGTGGGCAAAACAGTTAAAATTTAATCTTTGAGAGTCATCATTGATTCATGCGGTCGGTTTTGTTTGAGTCTTCCATGAGCTACAGTTAAGCTATGCTTGGAATTTACTAAGGCAGTTGTTTTACTTAGCCAGTAGCCAAAAAGCCAACCCATGAAGTACATTGACCCTTGAGCAGACAAATCTGACCCTAAACAGAACCCCTAAGCTTACAAAGAAAAACCATGATTGTCCTTAGCCTTGTTGGTAAGAGACATTCTCATGAAACAAGTAGGTTTGAGCAAAGTTGGGGGTAAATGTATGGAGTGTTCATGTGGTTAGAGCTGCACAAGCAAAGTATTGTTCCCTGTATATATATGTAGTATTCAATGTCAAAAAAAAAAATATTATAATCAAGGTTCCATGTTACCATTCCATCAATTATTGTAATATTCTAAAAGAGAAAGGAACCAGTAAATTCAATCAAAAGAGGGATGAGACATAAGAGTCAAGAGAATTCAAGCAACTGCAAAGATTGAATATAAACCCATATGAGTGAGAATGTCTCTTTCCAAACAGGCCTTTGAATCTCTAAAAGAAAAACCAAGCTCTCTTATAGCCAGGCCACATTACAACCCTCTTTAAGTCCTTAGTGATTCCTGTTTAGTTCTAACAATAGACTTGTGGGAGATGAATAACAAAGCAGACTTAGCGTGTTTTGGTGCATGAAAAGAGAGAAACACTCACCCTTCACAACATATTATTGAGAGATACACAATTGTGAGGAAAATCTTAGTGCCTTGATTGAAAACAATGGAAGATGAGTGGATATTTCCCTTGAATATGCTTGATGTTCATGATTTTTGTTATTATGTGGGCACCATTTGTAGTAACATGTACTCACTGGATTGTGCAACAAGTTTTCATTGGACTCCTTGAAATCATGTAAGTGCATTAACATATATTTTTTTTGGGTGAAACTTGTAGTGTTTCACTGGGTATATAAGTTAGTTATATTCTCTCAATTAAGATCTTTTGTTTGAGGACAAACAAATTTCTAAGTTGGGGGTAGAACTCAATGACAAAGAGTAATGAAATCATTTGATAGAATCATTAGGAATACATAGGAGGGAGATTGATGAATTTAATCCCAAACTGTTTCTCATATCTGTTTTTCTAAAATTAATTTGTCTTTTGGTTACTTAACTTTGATCGATCATTCACAACAAGTTTCAAATATATGTACTCACTCAATTTTCAGTTTACAAAGTTTCAATTAGTATAATAGAAATCATAGCTTACTTCACAAGTCCCTGAGGATCGACAACCTTTCAAATATACTACAGAGACTTGAGTGCGCTTGTCCAGAAAATCCAACAAGTATGGTTCAAATTTTATAACACTTTTAAACGGAACAAACACTTAACTTTTTTTTTTTATTTGATTTAAGTAATTTTTAAGTCAGAAACTAAATTAAGTTATACCGCGAACTCATGGATACGTCTCATAAAATTTTTAATATCCTACAAAATAATAATATTCATAGAAAACGAATGGTTATTTGCTTACCCGTCTTTGAAATGCCATCCCGATAAATTAGCTGCTGCTTGCAAAATTGACCTCCATTTGTTGACTTTGTCCTTGTCACTAATTCTGCTTTCATGTTTGGCCAGGGCTTCTGCATAACTTCCTTTTTGATATCGCACATCGGATGGATCCACTTTATAAAAAACAGGCCAAACCAACTTGTCCTTGTGATTTAAGCAATCCATGATATCCTCAAGTTCTTGTAAACAAAAAGTTGATGATGCATAGTTTGGTGAAAAAATGATAATGGCAATCCTAGATTCTTGAATTGCCTTCAACAAAGCTTGTGTGATTTCTTCTCCCTTCCTCAGCTCTTCATCATCCATGAAGGTGTGGATTCCCTTTTCATCCAAAGCATTGAAAAGGTTTGTAGTAAAACCGGTGCGGGTGTCCTCACCTCGAAAACTGAGGAAAACATCATAAGACCATTGATGGGCAAAGGAAGAGGATGTTGGATTAAGCATGATGTGAAGATGCAACAGATGACTCCCGCAAAAGACAGAGAAAGTATAAAAGTCAAAATAATTGAGAGAAATATAATATAAAGTGAAAAGCATGCTTTGGATAATTTACATGTTGACGGGAGACTTCTGCGTTGGCATGCAATTAAACAAAGTTTCCTAAGAAACGGGGAAATGGGAGAAAGAAGATACAGAGAAAGTGGAAGTAACATGGAAGACACCAAGGCCTTTCCTAAATTTAAAACTAAAATGAAACTTATGTAACAACAAAACTAATAAGGAAAGGTCTACGATACCTGCTATAATTGTGTGTACCGTAACAGTCGGTCTAGTTTTATTTTTAAATTAATATTATATTTTATTTATAAATTAAATTACTTGTGTTATAAAGTTATCTGTAATGTAAATTTTTCAGTTAAATATTTACAATTAATATAAATGGTTTACATTAATTTTTAAAAAATATACTTTTGGAGAATAATTTGATTTAACAAACATATTTTAAGAAAATAAGTTTGATTAATATTATAGATTTCAATTATTTTAATTTAGTCCCTTCAAAAAACATTATTTTAATTTAGTTGTTTTTGTGAATTTTTTAAAAAATAGTTAATTCTTTTATTTATTGACATGAAATATAGTTATTTTTATTCAATTTTATTCATTTATTTTGTCTAACTTATCATTTACAGTATTAATTTTTTTTATTAATTATAGAGGTAATAAAACCTATAACGTTTTTATTAATTATTATGGTATTAGTTAATTTGATATATTGATTTACTTTTAATTATTTTTAATAGTAAATTATTTTATATTAAAAATTAAGAACGTTATATATTTTAAATGAAAAAAATAAAAAAATACTTCTGAATTACATCTTGTCATCTTCATATACAGGACATCAACATAAGTTCCATATTCGAGGCATGTTACTTGCAAACAAAAGTTAAAATTTAAAAATACAAAACAACGAAAGTTAAAAAGAAATTAACAAAAGTCCAAATGAAGTCCACACCGAAAGGAAAGAAAGAACTCGTTAAGGTGATAATGGCTAAGTTAAAGCAATTTGATTGGGGATATTCACAACATATTATCAATTTTGTGATTCATCATATTTGGTTATTTACCCGGCAAGACATTTGAAACCAACCTCTAGTTTAACTATATGTAACACATATCAGTTCCTATAAAGATGAAAAGAAAAAATTAGTAAAAAAATATACACATATCAGGATATCTAAATCTAGTTTGATGAAGCAAGGACATATCCACTGCCACTTCCTTCTTGATCCTGTACATCTACTCCCTTTCAATTCTATTTGGGCACTACTAAATTCATTCCCTAATTCTTTCTTTGCTATTTAAAAGTGGGGATTTCTAAATCGAATATATGCCATGTTTGTTTTTTGTTCCTGTACATGTACTCCCATCCATTCTATACCTTTTGCTCCTTCAAAATCCTCAAACAAAATCTCAGCACTGTTCCATCCATTCTTAATATGTAATCCTTCATATTTAATATCCCCTATTTCAAGCCGATCATACACAAAAGTATGATTTGTCTCAAACTCAATTGAATAATCTTCAACAATGTACTTTTCTGGGATCTTTCGCACGCCATTTACCATCAGGTGCCACACACGGTGATGGTGCAAACGAAAAAGTCCAGCAACACATAGAGTAATTGCTGGGAACTTGTTACGAAACCAGAAACGCAGGGATGGACCATTGCTACTGCAATTCAACCAACTTGGGATACTTGATCCTGGAAATATGAAATGTCTGCCATCATTCTCGTGTAGTGTCTGTCAATCACATTTAATTATAAAATGTTAGTTAAGCATCCCAGTAAAGTATAATAAAGTATTCAAAACATAGATAAGATACCTGATTCAGTAACATTTCCTTAGACTCACAAGTTAAAGATGTGCAATTGATAGCTAAAAGATTTTTTATGTTTGGTGGAAGACCTCTGATTTCTCGAAGCTCCTTACATTCATTCAATTTGAGTGTGGTCAAGGAGAGACATGCACGGATGGATGATGGAAGGATTGTGAAATTGCTGTTACAAAGGTTTAGATATCTTACATTGCGCAAGCAAGGAAGAACTGTGCAAAGAAATTCATCTGTGAGATGATAACAACAACGAAAACCAGCATAATTGACACTTGAAGACATTGTTTCTTGACCTTGACCTTTCCCATTCTGAACTAGAGCAAGTTGTTAGGAACAATGGCAATAAAGGAGAGAAGAGAGAAATAAACAATACTAAGAAGTATTTGTTTTGGTGCATTTGTAAACCTTACATAAGCTTCCTTATATAACAAAAGTGAGGCACACCATCTCACAATACTAAGCAATGTGGGACTAAGAAAAACACACTACAAAACTTAATCAAACTACACAAAAATAACAATTCTCCCACTTGAAGTTTGATTACCACATAGTGTAATTGCCTTCATCATCAGTTATTCTTGAAGGCCAATTGAGGTACTGCAAAGCCTCAATTTTTCTGTTGTGACAACCTTTGTCAACATATCCGCTGGGTTCTTACTTCCTAGTATCTTCCTCAACGTTAGTACTTCATCCTCAAGCAGAGATCTGATAAAGTGATAACGGAGATCAATATGCTTCGTTCTGGAGTGAAATGTTGAATTCTTAGCCAGATGTATTGCACTTTGACTGTCACTATGCAAAACACTCCTTTCCTGGATGAATCCCAACTCTGTCAACAATCCTTGAAGCCATATCAATTCTTTGCTAGCTTCTGTTACTGCTACATATTCAGCCTCTGTAGTGGATAGAGCAACGATCTTTTGTATTTGTGACATCCAACTAACAGCTGTAGTTCCAACCGTAAATATGTAGCCAGTGGTACTTCTTCGGTGATCAATTTCTCCAGCAAAGTCTGCATCCACGTAGCCTTGTACTTTTAGTTCACCTTTACTAAAGCACAAACACTTCTCCTTAGTGGCTCGTAAATATCTCAAAATCCATTTCACAGCTTCCCAGTGAGCTTTACCTGGATTTGACATAAACCTGCTTACAACTCCCACTGCATAGCCAATGTCTGGCCTTGTGCATACCATCGCGTACATCAGACTTCCAATGGCTGAAGCATACGGAGTTTTAGCCATTAATTCCTTTTCTTCCTCTGTCTTAGGAGATTGGTCTGTTGATAGGCGAAAATGACTAGCCAAAGGTGTGCTAACTGGTTTAGCATTGCTCATGTTGAATCTTTGTAGGACACGGTTTATGTACTCCGCTTGAGATAACTGCAAAGTTCCCTTTTGCTTATCTCTCGTAATTTGCATTCCGAGGATCTTCTTTGCTGGTCCTAGATCTTTCATGTCAAATTCTTTTGACAACTGCTTCTTCAAATTTCTGATCTCAATCATATTTGAACCTGCTACTAACATATCATCGACATAAAGTAGCAAAATGATATAACTGGAGTTATACCTCTTGAAGAAACAACAATGGTCAGCATTGCACTTCTTAAAACCTTCCTTGTGCATGAAGCTCTCAAACTTCCTATACCACTGTCTTGGAGCTTGTTTCAGACCATACAAGCTCTTCTTCAACCTGCACACCATATTCTCTTTTCCTTTTTCTGAGAATCCTTCTGGTTGGTGCATGTATATCTCCTCATCTAGATCTCCATGAAGAAATGCGGTCTTCACATCCAACTGCTCTAGATAGAGCTCTTCACTAGCAACAATACTCAACACTGTTCTGATTGTATTGAGCTTCACAACTGGAGAAAAAATCTCTGTGTAGTCAACTCCTTCCTTTTGCTGGAATCCTTTGACGACTAATCGAGCTTTGTATCTTTTGGAGCCATCATGCTCCTCTTTTACTCGATACACCCATTTGTTGTGAAGTGCCTTCTTCCCCATAGGTAACTTTGCTAGTTCCCATGTTTGGTTTGAGATCAAAGACTTCATTTCTTCTTTCATTGCAAGCTCCCACTTGCTCGCATCTCTGGTTTGACATGCCTCTGAATAGTCTTCAGGTTCTCCTCCATCTGTTAACAACATGTAGTTCATGTATCTCCTGTTAGGCACAGGAACTCGAGAAGACCTTCTTAATTCAGGTTCTGGAACACATTGTTGCCCTCTGTCTGGTTCAATTGATTCCACTGACTGAGAACTCTCAACTGGAGGACTTTCAAGAGCATCGTCTACCTCTACATAAGTAGGCTCAATCGGTTTTGAGTTGCTGGCACTTGTGTTTTGTTTGTCTTTGTACATAACTCCTTCGTTGAAGATCACGTCTCTACTACGGATCATCTTTTTGTTTTCATCATCCCAAAGACGGTAGCCAAACTCATCTTCACCATAACCGATGAAAGTGCACTTCTTCGATTTGGGATCAAGCTTATTTCTGCCTTGATCACTGATGTGCACATATGCTACACAACCGAAAACTCTAAGATGTGAGAGTTTTACTTCTTTTCCGCTCCATACCTCTTCTGGTATTTTATGCTCCAATGGTACCGATGGACCTCGGTTGATCAAGTAAGCTGCTGTATTTACTGTTTCAGCCCAGAATTGCTTCGGTAGGCCTGATTGCATACGCATGCTTCTGGCTCTTTCAGTCAACGTTCGGTTCATACGCTCAGCTACACCATTTTGTTGAGGCGTTCCTGGCACAGTTCTCTCCATTCTGATCCCGTGCTCATAGCAAAACCTTTTGAATCTGGTGTCTTCATATTCACCTCCATTGTCAGTTCTGAGCTTTTTGATCTTCAACCCTGTCTCATTTTCTACCATAGCTTTCCACATCTTGAAAGCTTCAAATACTTCAGACTTGTGTTTCAGGAAGTATACCCATACCTTCCTGGAGTGATCATCAATAAACGTCACAAAGTATTGCTTCCCACTGATGGATGAAACAGTCGTTGGACCCCACACATCTGAGTGAACAAGCTCGAGCCTCTCCTTCTTTGGGGTTCTTCCACCCTTTTGAAAGCTAACTCTCTTCTGCTTTCCAAATATACAGTCTTCACACATTTCAATTTCCATTGACTGAAGACCTGGTAATTTTCCCTTCGAGTGCATGATCTTCATCCCTTTCTCACTCATATGGCCAAGTCTCTGGTGCCATAGATTGGGATTGTCATTTGCAGCAACTGTGATCAGATGACATGCTTCTGTTGTCTTGTAAAGAGTACCACTCTTCTTGCCACGAGCTATTGTCATTGCGCCCTTTGAAATCTTCCATTGTTCTCCTTGGAAGATTGTTGTGTAGCCGTCACTGGCCAACTGACCTACTGAGATTAAGTTTTTCGTTAGGTCGGGAATGTGTCTAACATTCTTCAATTCCCAAACAGATCCATTCAACTTGATCTTCACTACACCTTTTCCCACGATCTCGCAGGATTGTTCATTTCCAAGGTAAACTTTACCGAGATTTCCAGAGACATAATTCTCGAAGAGTTCTTTCTGTGAGGTTGCATGGAAAGATGCTCCAGAGTCTATCACCCAAGACTCTTCCTTGTTTTCCAAAGAACATATCAGCGCATCACCTCCTCCTGAGGTCGTAGCAACGTTTGCTTCATCTTTCACCTCCTGTTTCTTCGAGGCACTCCTACATTGATTTTTGTAGTGACCAGTCTTCCCACAATTCCAACATTCGATAGTTTTTGATTTGTTAGAGCTTTGATGATTTCTGGATTTGGATCTCTCCTTTGATTTGCCACGTCCGGTTCCTCTGGTTGAACTTCTACCTCTTGACTCTGTATGCAATACTGAAGAGGTTGTGGATTCACCCGTCTCTCTTCGGCGGACTTCTTCACTGAGGACCAAGTCACGAACATCATCAAACTTTAACTTGTTACTTCCTGAGGAGCTACTCACAGCTGTGACAGTAGCATTCCAACTTTCTGGTAGGGAAGAAAGAAGTATTAAAGCTCGTACTTCTTCATCGAAATTGATTCCAACTGAACTCAACTGAATTGTAATTGTGTTGAGTTCGTTTATAAAGGGAAAGGTGAGAACTAAAATTAATATCATAATCTCTATAATCAACTGTAGATCTTCAAGACCTTATAATCAATTTAGATTTATTAGAACATATATATATATATATATATATATATATATATGTATATATATAAGTAAAGAGTATATAAAGAAGGTAAACAATCACAAAATTTTCTCACTTAAGCAAATCATTATTGGTTGCTCAAATAAGATTAGAGAATTTTTTATGATTTCAAATCATTTACGCAAGTGTAACTCATTGGATATCACTAGCGTGACCATGTGAGGAGGAAAATAACAATTTGTTTTTTATTTAAGCAAGATATGTAGGATGTTTAAATGAGTATATATTAAGAAAGAACATTTAATTTTACCTTTGTTTAAGTAAGTCACAACTCTCACTTAAGTGAGATTCTAAAAAAATATTCAATTGCACTACCTTTGTTTAAGCAAGCTAAACATAACTCGTTTAAGCGTATCTCTAATTTCAAAACAATGAACACTATCTAATCCAAACTAAAGAGGAACAATTTATCCAAAATTTTACACGAAGATCTGCTTTGAAAAAAGTAACATCAAAATCTTCATGACGTCTTTTACTACTTTCTTTTTATCACTTTTTCTTTTCTCTTGCGGAAGAACCCTAAGACTGGTGCAACAATTAAGATTCAAATATTCCAGTTTTTCAAGGAATCCAACGGAATCATGAACTTCAACTAAATTTGAGCAATTAACAAGAAGCAGTTTCTTCAGATTTGGTGCTCCAGACATGTCAGGTATTTTCTTTAGCAATTCACATCAACTTAAGTTCATTTCCATTAAAGACTTGAATTTCTGCAAAATGCAAAAAATAACGTAGTAACTAATTTATGAATTTTCAAATGGACTTATAACTTAGTAATATCCAAGACCAAATAAACATAAGAATAATACCATGTTCAGTTGATCCTTGAATGTAAAGGAACTCATAGGCAAGTCCAATATGACAAGTTTCTTTGAATCAAAATTAGCAGGCAAGGATGATTCAGGATATGCGCTCCATTTTAGCACTCTTAAACTTTTTGGGAGAGCACTAGGTCCTCTAGAAAAGTGAGCATTTTCTACCACCAATATTTTAAGGTTTTCCATCTTCTCCAATGCGGTTCCATCCCATTGCACTTCTTTAACTTTAGGCAAGTGTAGCATGATGATTTCAGTTTTATCGGATCCCTTTAAGACATAATAGTCAAATTAGGATAAAGTTTTCAATTTATAAAGTTGAATATCTTGTTCTGTTTGAAAACACAGAATATCTTTAGAGATAAATAAGCGTTGCACAATGCACATACCTTGTTCTGTTTGAAAACACGAAGAATATCTTTAGAGAACCATAATCTACTACGTTCACCTGGTTTTGAGGGTGATTCAAGCCGTACAATTTCTTTACCCATACACTCAATCAAATCATGCATTCTCACATGAAGTTGATCAATTTTTATCAGACATTTATTAATCAACACCCCAATAGCATAATCTGGAGAAGAGCCACAACCGCTATGTAACGTGTTTTTGACATCACTTAATCTGTATCCTTTAAAGAAACACGCAATGTTTAGAAATATTTCCTTCTCAAAATCCTCTAAACCATCATAGCTTACCCTTAAGATTTGCTGAATATTTTTATGAGGAATTTTTTCATAAGCATCTAATGCTGACTTCCATTGCAACTTTGTCTTACCATATAAATCAGAGCCTATTATTTCCAGAGATAATGGTAGGCCATTAGAATGTTGCAATACTCTCTTTGAAATGTCCAAATAATCAGGATTAACCTGCTTTCTTTTGAAAGCATTCCAACTAAACAATTCAAGGGCCTCTTCATGATTTAATCCTTCCACTTCATAGGTTATTTCAACACCATAAACATGTAGCAAATGGATATCTCTGGTTGTGATAATAATTCTGCTTCCAGGACCAAACCATTCTAGTCCACCTGCAAGTGCTTGCAATTGCACCAATTTGTTGACATCATCCAAAATCAAAAGAATTTTCTTTTTACGGAACTTATTTTTAATTATTGGGATTCCTTGCATTATATTCCCCAACTTGGTGTCTTTCTCTCCAACTATGTCATAAAGAAGTTTTTCCTGAAGTTGTACCAGCTCATGCTCCATTGTTTTTTTTCCAATGTCGGCAAGAAAACAAAGGCCTTCAAATTGTTGAGCAATGAAATTGTATACTGCACAAGCAAGTGTGGTTTTTCCAATTCCACCTATTCCATAAATTCCCACCACGTGGACCCCATCATTTGATTCAACATCTAGAAGTGATTTTACCTTTTGTATGCGAGACTCTAACCCAACTGGGTGATGAGCAACATGTAAAGTGTTTCGGTTGATCCTTTTACAGACCTCTTTAATGATCTCTCCAATGAATTCATATTCGTACCTGTCCAAATAATAATAAAAAAGAATGATATTAGTAAGGATGTTTAAAATCGAACCAAGTCAATCATAATACTGAAAATTGATCCAAAAATGAAAAGTCGATAAAAAAATTGAAAGCTTGTGGAGAGGCTGAATGTAAAAGCCTCTACACTATTGCTAACCATACAACAAAAAAGTTAATTTATCAAACGAGGACTTAAAAGACACCTTTGCAAAATCATTATCTTTTTAGTCACACTTGTATTTTTTCGAGATTATACTTGATACATTTTCGTCATTTAAACTATTTGAATCTACGGTGAAACTTTTTAAAAGTTGAAAAAATATTATACCACCTTCCTTATTCATAAATAATATTTAATTTGTTAAACATATAATTATCACTATAAATAATAATTATCACTATAAATAAGAATTAAAATGTCAAACAAAATATTTTTCTTAACTTTATCAAGAATAAATAATAATAAAATTACTATTTTTATTATCCAAAAGATATATCTACATCGAATTAATCAAAATAATCAAAATGTTAAAAATATAACTTTTTTTCTTCTAATATTACCTATTTTAATAATAAAAAATTACTTGTTTATATCCTCGTAAACTGAATAATATTATGTAATTTTCTATGCTTGTTTTAGTGCTATTTATTTTATTGGTCGGGACATTGGAATTTCTTTTAGTCAAAAAGGAATAGATTGGGATATATTGTTAATTCCATCTATAGATGTTAAGCTTACAGAAACCCTAAACCCTAGGCTCATAGTGATCCCTAAGCACGTCACGTGTGCAAACAAAAGTTGAACGTAGAAAGGGTGCGCTAGAATCTCCGCCTTGTGCCTCACATTCTATCACTCTACCATCTCACCTTTCTTGCCGCCCTTCAAGTTGTCAGGTTCCATCATGGAGTCACCCTTGTTGCGCTAGAGGACAACACTACTGAGTCATTAGGTGGAGTCAGAAGCGGCACTGTGGAGGTTTAGGAAGTTGGTGCCGTTGTTGGAAGTTAACGTTGGTGTTAGAGTAGTTATTGCTGTTGTTGGCAGTGTTATTCGTGTAATGCGTGTGGAGAAGGGCTGTGAAATGGTGAAATGGTGAAGTGGAAGGTCTTTGGGGTTGGGGTACCCATGACTTTGTGCTTGTGTTTGTGAAACTATAAGTATTGACCCTTCTATTAAGTCATGATCATTAAATCTACAAAATTTTTCGAATTGTATACAGGTAAGACAGATATTCTTTCATTTCCATCCCCAAACATTTTCAATTTCCTTGTAAATTAATAAAAATATTTCATGATTTGTTGTAATCATTCTTTATCAAATCATATGAATCTATTTAATATAATCAATAAAAAATATATATAATAATTGTCATATATATATATATATATATATATTTCATATCTTTATATTTCAAAATGATAGTTATTATATTACAAAATTTTAATTTACATATATTAAAATATTATATAAAAAAATATGAAATTTCAACATTGCATTCTTGCAATTCTTTTAAGTTATTTTTTTTTTTATCTTTTTCAAAAAAAAAATCTAACTTAGAAGGATATGTCATATCTTCTCCATATGTAATATAATTATAAAAACATTGTCATTCATTATTTTCTGTTTTATTTAAAAGGTATGGTAAGTATATATATCTAAATTAATTTTTCTATGAAATTATGAAATAATGTTAGTAGGGTTTAATAAATAAATATACTCACGCATTAATAAAGGCAGGTATGTGGCATTGGTATTCTCATCTACTATGTTATTATTTTAATAAATAATAATTAAATATTATTTATTATTTTTTATAACTAACATTTTAATCAAATTATATCTCTTAATTATGATTATATGCGGTTATACTAGCCCAAAAAAAACCTAACAACTTAAAATGGTTAGTCCACAACAATCAACATTTCATTTCGGTGGGGGCTTCGCAATATATTATTTACTATAGAAGTTCCTAGAGAATTCATTAGAAGAATGTTTTCAACAAAAATAGTTTGTTTTTGTATGTTTATACTATTTTTCCAAATTAATCTCACAGATATATATGATTTAGCCGAATATCTAAGCGATTCATATACAATATCTTTTTTATTTATTGAGGGTTCTAATAATTGATATGCTTTTACAAATAATTGAAATTCAATTTCTTGATTTGGATCCTCAATTTTTGAAAACTTTGAAAGCCTTTCTATATTAAGCTATCAATAAACCTACAAAACCCTTCAAATTGTATTTGATTCAATCTAGGTATTATAAACATTCCTTTATTTCCACCCCAAAACATTTTCAAATTTCTTGTGAATTTTATAAAAAAATATTTCACAATTTACTACCATTCTTTATTAAATCATGAATCTATTTAATATAATCAATAAAAAATATATAATAATTGTCATATATTTATTTCATATCTTTATATTCCAAAATAATAATTATTATATTACAAAATTTTAATTTACATATATTAAAATATTATATAAAAAATATGAAATTTCAATAAATCGTTCATTACATGGGTACATGTCTAGTTATAACTAAAGAGAACAATCTAATGACTAACTACCAATGTTGTATTAATGATTATAACATAATTGTGAATTCTAACTATCAATGTTGTATTAATGATTATAACATAATTGTGAATTATGTTTTAATCATTAAACGTAATGATATCATTTGACAATTATGTTATAATCATTAATACAACATTGATAGTAAGTCATTAGATTGCTCTCTTTCACATTTTTTAGTTTCTTTCTTTGAAAATAAAAATTAAAAAAAAAGTGTTAAAGTAATTATTATCATTTAGTTTTAAAATTTTACGGTCATTTAATGGATTATTTTTCAAGGGATAAAGAGATTAAGAAAATTGTCAAATGAGAGATATTGATTATATTCTAAAATAAAATATAAGAAGTGTAAGTTTAATTTATTTTATTTTTTAATAAAAAAATAAATGATTATAACTTGATTTGTTTTAATTGTCTGTATTTCATTCAACAATATTTCGATTCAAATTTTTTCAAATTGAAACTCAACAAAAAAACTAAAAAAATATATATAGATTAAGTTGTTTATTCTAAAATTCAAATTCCAACTACGTTTAATGGCAAATTGGTGCCTAAGAAACTCCCATAATAAATTAAATTAGGTAAAATCAAAGACCGAAATTATCATGCTAAATTCGTGCCTAAGAAAATTAAATTAGGTAAAATCAAAGAGAGTTCCATAAAACTCAAATAATTCTAAAAATTTTGATACAATAATTATTTTTCACACTAATATTTATATTTTTAAATAATATGTTTATAACTACAAAAACTAGTTTGATACAGTTCAAATTTCATAATATATTTAATTTAAATAAATACTTAATTTTTTTTATTTGATTTAAGTGATTTTTAAGTTAAAAATTAAATCAATCTATATTAAGAGCATTTAAAGATGAGATAGGCTAAGTCAGACATTGAATATATAAGTTGGATCTGTTTTACAAAATTAAACCTTAAATCTGATCTATTATCTATCATATACTTTTATTATAAGCCTTGTCTGATATTTTTAATATTTCATTTGACCTATTAACCTATTTACAAGTCTATTTTATCTCAATAATGTTAATTAGACTAATACATTTAATTTTTAAAAAGTTAACAAAAAGCTTTTTTTTTTAATTTGTGTAATAAAATATAATTTCTTCAATATTATTAAATTTAAAATTTGAAATATATACAATGTCACAAAGCGGGGAAAAAGTGAATCCTTTTCTATTAGAGGAACAATTTATGCATAATCATGTATGTCGGCGTACAAGCCTACAAGTCGATAAATCTATAATGAAAAAGATAATGATATATAAAAATATTTTTAAATATTTCTTATATTTAATTTGGTATATTACAAATAACTAACTCATATTTGAACAAATTAAAATAGTTATGCTAACAATTTGTAAATTAAAAAAAATTCATTGTACATGGACTGATTTCAAGGGTACCAATTACATATATAATAACACAAAGAGGGAATAAATAAAATTATTTTTTGTTAAAGGAACAACTCATGTACACTTACACAAACTATGATAAAAGAGAATATTTTTATTCAAATAATATATATAGAGAGAGAGATGAGAGTTATAATTACACCGATGTAACTTTTATTAAACATTACACCGCTTATATGTGAATTTTGTAAATTCAACCGTTAGATTGAAAGTTTATATCACTTTATATATTTATATCAAATTTTGTTAAAATTGAATAACAATTTAAAAGTAATTAACGTGTTCATATTTTAGTATATTTTAAAATGAATATATTACGTCAATTTTGTTTTATAATAATGAAGTATCAAATCATCTTGGATTGATATAAAATTTTGTCATATGATCTAAAAGTAAGGAATTTTTAATCTAAAGATTGTATTAATTTACAAAATTTATAATTAATATAAAGTTATTGAGTAGTGTAGTATTTAGTAAAAATTACATCGGTGTTATTATAATCCTCCTCATATATATATACATATATATATATATATATATACACTAATTTTTATTATATTATATAAATAAATAGATTGAACTAAAACTTTTTTTATAAATTTAAACTTAATCTTTTTATTAAAAAAATCAGAAATTTTAAAGAAAATAAATCACATACTTTTATTTAAAATTTGACTTATTTCTATCTTTAGAAACATGACTCAAAGAAATTATAGTATCCTACAAAATAATAATATTCATATGAAAAGAATGATTGTTTGCTTACCCATGTTTGAAGTGCCAACCAGATAGATTAGCTACTGCTTGCAAAACTGATCTCCATTTGTTCACCTTGTTCTTGTCATTAATTCTGCTTTCATGCTTGGCTAGTGCTTCTGCATAACTTCCTTTCTGATGTCGCACATCGGATGGATTCACTTTATAAAAAACAGGCCAAACCAGCTTGTCCTTATGATTTAAGCACTCCATGATATTCTCAAGTTCTTGTAAACAAAAAGTTGATGATGCATAGTTTTCTGAAAAAATCACAATGAAAATCCTAGATTGTTGAATTGCCTTCAACAAAGCTGGTGTGATTTCTTCTCCCTTCTTCAGCTCCTCATCATCCAGGAAGGTGTGGATTCCCTTTCCATCCAAAGCATGAAAAAGGTTTCCAGTAAAACCGGTGCGGGTGTCCTCCCCCCGAAAACTGAGGAAAACATCATAAGACCATTGATGGGCAAAGGAAGAGGATGTTGGATTAAGCATGATGTCCATGGCAGTGATTCTTGAGATGTGTGAGGATGCAATCGTTGACTCAGACGAAAACTAATGTCTTGCAGTGTCCTAAGGCTATCTCCTTGTTTCCACCGATGATGAGACATGATTGCCACACATTATAATATTAATATTTTACAAAACAAATTAAAAGAAGGAAATAAAAACAAAATATAGAGAAAGTGGAAGGAAGTAGTTAGGAAATAGTTAGGAAGACACGAAAACAAAAATTAAGACTATATTTTGATACAAACCAACGGTTTTTAGAATTTTTTTTATTAAAAAAATATTTTTTAATAAAATTTTTTAATTTTTTTTTAACTTTTGTATTCAAACATATATTAGACGGTGTGAGATAATTATTGACCGTTGAATTAAGTACTAAATAAATCAATGTCTGAAAAACAGGTTTTAAATAGGATGAATTGAATAATATAAAATGTGATGCTTTTTTTATGTTAAAATATTTTTTTTATTTATATAATTTTACTTGATTTACATTCTAGTTCTTATAATTTAAAAAATATGTTTTTAAATTTTATACATATTTTTTAAATTTTTTTATAATTCTTATAGTTTAAGATAGGTATTCTTATATATTTGCAGTTTTTAATTCTTTTGGTTCCTAATTAATTTTTTTATAAGATTATTTCTTTTGAATTAGCGTGATAAATTTATTAATTTAATTTTGTATTTTTTGTAAAAATAATTTTAAATTAGAGTTTTCAAAATTTTGTATTTTTTTTTTATCTTCACAAAATAAGTCTCATATTTGAGGACAATCACCTGCAAACAAAAATTAAAATTTAAAAATACAAAATAACGAAAGTTAAAAAGAAATTAACAAAAGCGCAAATGAAATTCACACTGAAGTGGATCGAAGAACTCGTTAGAGTGATAATAGCCAAGATAAAGCAATTTGATTGGAGATACTTTATAACATTTTATCAATTTTGTGATCCATCATATTTAGTTAATTATCTGCCAAGTTATTAGAAACCAACCTCTAATTTAACTATTTGTAACACATGAACTTCTATAAAAATAAAATATAATTCTAATTATAATTTCATATTCAAAAAGACAAACTCTAATTCTTATTTAAGGAATACAATTGTGAAATCACTTAAACTTGATAAATTTAAGGGATTATGGGAATGCGAAAACACTAGTGGAAAATCACTTTTATGTTATTGATTTCTCGTCGAACATACAAATATGCAACGTAAAAAAGATGCGGTAACAATTTTAAAAATTTGAAATCTATGTCGGACAGAAGCCACATCCGACGTAGATTTAAAATTTTATATTGGACCCCTATGTAGTCCGACGTAAAAACATTTTTATATCCCTGGCGCGCCTTCGTCTTCTTCTTTGCGCGTGCGACCTAGGTTAATATCAAAGGCATTTGGGCGATTTCTAGCAAAGGTGTGAACGAGTTCATTTTGGCGTTTTGAGCTCCGGAGACTTTCGGCGAAGGGCAGCTCGTCATTGGTGGGTGATTCTCCATCTTTCTGACCGATTGGATTCCGGTGAAGGGCGTTTCTGAGTTTTCCGGCGAAGGTTAGTGGCTATTTCATGTGAAGGTCTTCCTTTCATTTCCTTTCATTGCTTTTTCGTATAAATGAAGTTTTGGAAGCGGTGGCCGGCATTGGTGAATGCAGTGTTAGTGTGAGTGGAGTGTGAAGCCCAAATTTTGTTTTTTCTTTGCTCCATTGTTGCCCTTAGTTTTACTCTATTGAAAAATGTCTATTAATTCTTAATAATGCATGATCGTTGAGTTTGTATGTTGTTTTGTTGCGTGGGTAAAATGGTAAACGTGTGGTTGGTATTTCAGTGGTTTCGATTCTGGCATGAGAATGTAAGACAGCCACATATAGTTTGCAAACAAATGACCTCCCATTTTGCAGCCCTTTGTGATTAGTACTAGTTACTAAGTACAAACCCTACCTTTGTGACCACCCATTTCGTAGCCCATTGGTGATGTCTCTGATAGGGAAGTTGAACAAGTGGTCCATGGGTGGTGCCTGAATAAAGATGAATAGTGACCGTAGATTTAATATAAAAATAATTAACGGTTCAAATTATCATTTAATGAGTAACATTTTACAATTGCAGAGTAGTCCTTTTACTTTTGATATTTGTCCGTGTCTAGTAGGGTGTACGGTGTATGATGGTAAAGAAGTGATGTGTAGAGATTTGCGATCCGGTATCTGTGGTGTTTTTGCATGAGGAGTTCCGATTAGCAGGTGCGATTGTCGTTGTGGCGCTTTTGTGGAGAGCATCTTCGAAGTGGGGCTCCGCCGGGCCGTGGGTCCGTTGTCATCCGTTGTTGTTGTTGTTAGTCCGCAAGGCGTTGGAAGATTTGTTAGGTTTAACAGCTGAGCAATCGATTTTGTTTATTTTTTAAACCTAAAGTGTCGCTTACAAAAGGAAGCCCTTTTCGAGGTTTACATTTTTTGAACTGTGTTTACATGATGATTTATAGTTTGAATGTTGATTTTCCATTTGATTTTATATGTATGTGCAATTTTGATGATACATCTCTTGCTGGTGTGTACAGGTAATAGAGATTATTTGGTGCGGAAGTGTTTGAGGTGCATAGATTGATTTATTGTTAGTAAAGGTGAAAGTAGAATGGAGTATGAGAATTCAAGTATAGAGGTAAGTGACATTTTTGTTACAAAAAAAATAGAATTAATAATGCATTGTGTAATGTGTGGCATAACTGTGATGTTGAAGGTTGGTATTTTTTTTAAAGTTTGTGATGCTCTTAAAAGGTTTAATTGATTATTAAAACTTTTTAGGTGGCAGTAGATAATTGTGAAAGCATAAATGAAGGAGTAGATAATTTTGAAGGCATAAATGAAAGAGTAGATTATTATGAAGGCATAAATGAAGGAGTATGTAATTTTGAAGGCATAAATGAAGGAGAAGATAATATAAATGAGAATGAGGAAGATGAGAATTTGGTTAATGATTTTGAAGAAATTTGTGAAGAAGAAATGGAAAATGTTGTTAATGAAGGAAGAGTTGAGGTTTTTGACAGTGAAAAAGGGGTCATAGTTTCTACTTTGGATGATATTTTTAATTTAGATTTGCATTTAAGTCCACATGAGCTTAGGAATGTTCAATTTATAAGTGTTGAGATGGCTTACTTATTTTATTACTGGTATGCAAAAGTTAATGGATTTGCCGCAAGAAAAAGCAAGATTTTGAGAAATATTAAGGGGGAAAAATTACAACAAACATTTGTTTGTTTCAAGGAAGGATTTAGAGATAAGCGTGGTTTGAACATAGAGAATCGAAAGCGTAAGAGAACACCGGAGACAAGGTGTGGATGCGAAGCAAAACTAAGAGTGCATATTGATAGCACATGTGGACTGGTACATTACATATTTTCTTGATGAGCACAACCATAGTTTTTTGGAAGATAAGTATTGTAGATTGTTAGCTTGTCATAGAGATATGAGTGAGTTAGATATAATGCAATTGAATAAAATGAGAAAAGTTGGCATAAGTACTCCTCAAATTTATGGGTCACTTGCAGATCACCCTGGAGGGTATGAGAGACTTTCTTTTTGTAAGGACATATACAATCAAATTGGAAGGCAAAGAAGGTTGCAAGGTTTGGATTGTAAATCTGCCTTGGAATTTTTGAATGGTTTAAAGTGCAATGATCCTTTAATGTATGTTGCTCACACTGTTGATGACGAAAATAGATTGCAACACTTGTTCTGGTGTGATGGCATGATGCAGATGGAGTATGAAGTATTTGGTGATGTGTTAGCATTTGATGCAACATATGGGAAAAATAAGTATTTATGTCCTGTAGTTGTATTTTCTGGTGTTAATCATCACAATCGTACGATAGTATTTGCGAGTGCTATTGTTTCAAATGAAAGTGAAGAAACATATATTTGGGTACTTGAGCAATTTGTAGAAGCCATGAAAGGAAAGTCACCAATGTCAATTATCACTGATAGAGATGTTGCAATGAAAAATGCGATAAGAAAGGTATTTCCTAATTCACACCATAGATTGTGTGCATGGCACTTATTAAGGAATGCGACAACTAACATTAAGAAGCCGACATTTACTAAGGATTTCAGAAAATGCATGTTGGGTGAGTATGAAATTGGTGAGTTTCGAAAGAAGTGGTCTGAAATGTTGAACAAGTTTGACTTGCATGATCATCCTTGGGTTATAGAGTTATTTGAAAAGAGGAAGATGTGGTGTACAACTTATATTAGAGGGGCTTTCTTTGGTGGTTTTAGGGCAACTTCTCGGTGTGAAGGATTACATTCTGAGTTGAAAAAATATATTCATTCGAAGATTAATCTGACAAAGTTTGTTCAACAGTTTAATCATTTTGTGAGTTATATGCGTTATAGGGAAGTTGAAGCTGACTTTGCATCAATTCATGGTGATCCTGTGCCAGAAATAGATTTTCATAACCTAGAGCTATCCGGTGCAAAGTGTTATACGAAAGAAATATTCAAATTATTTCATGATCAGCTTCATAGTTCATCTCTGATGAGGGTGATTGGTTGCAAGCAGACATTTGGTTGTTGTATATACATAGTGAGAAAATATGAAATGATTCACAAGCAATGACATGTGTCATATCAATCAACACCATGTGATTTGAAGTGTTCGTGCTTAAGAATGGAATCAGTCGGTATTCCATGTGATCATATACTTGTAGTGTTGGTTCATCTGAATTTTTCAGAGTTACCAAGATGTTTGGTGTTAAAAAGGTGGACTAAGGTGGCGAAGGATGAAGTGAAGGGCAATGTTAGTACACATAGGTGGGACTCTGAGAAAGATGCTAGATACTTGTCATTGATGGAGTATTTTAAAGAGCTTAGTACATTGGCATGTGAAACATATGATGATTATGTTGATAAAAGGGATAAAGTTGTAAATGAATTACTTGAAATAAGAGGTAAAAAAGGTCATGAATGTGAACAAGGCAATGCATTGGGTGATGAATTAAGTGCAGTTATAAGGAATCCTGGCATCGCTAGGAGTAAAGGA